GCATAAGAGATATGAAAGTGAAGAACAGGGTTTTTTATCTTTTAATCTTTACTTTTATTCGATGACGACACTAAAAGATTGAAGCAGTATAGAAACATGTTTTTTAAGTCGATTTTAGAGAATGCAAAAAACCTCAACTATCGATTGAATTGTTATTATTAAATATATTTAACTTATTTAAATAGTTTAGTTATACAATAAAAAGATGGTTTTTATAATTGAAATTAATTTTGTCGCACATTTGTTAATTTTTTTTGTTAATAATATAAACGTGTCTGTAATCATTGGATTTGTTTATTAGGATTTTTATCAGTATCTTGAGATAGCTTTCGTTTTAGTTTCGAGGTCTCCATTCACTTTTTAACGATAATAGACAACTGTGAGAACAATTCGCATGCTCTCACTCGTTATTCCGCGACTCGGTGGACCCTGACGATCATAAGTGCAGTGCTATTGAAAAAAATCACTTATCTTAACATTAACTATTGTGTGACTTTCATTTGTAGAGTCATACGATTTTAATTTGGTCGTAGAAGACAGTTCTGTCAATTCCTTCCTTGTTTTTATGCGCATATACAAATAGCTGTGGAAAGAACATTGACATTTTATGTACTATTTCCGGTGTATTGTATTTATGTATACTTAGAATAATGTTATCATTTTTCTTTCATTGTCCAATTGTTTAGCGGTTAAAAAAATTCATCCTACAATAAACATAAATTTAAGAAAAAAGAATAAATAAGAGAAATTGAAAAAAATCTCTGAATCCTTGCAAATATATAGTTTTTAAAAACAAATTTAAATATTCTTTTGATTGTTTAAATACTCATGAGTGTTATTTTATGATGCCATTTATTAAATAAAGTGCCTGAAGATCTAGCACCCTGAATAAAAAAGAAAGAAATTGAATAAAAATTCACTTCTACGAATTTTATGATTGTTAAAAATATTTTATGGTTTAGTTTTCGTGTATTGTAGAAAATTATAGTTTTACTGGAAAATAAATATAAAAGACAAGAGGTTTTGGATGACTTCAAAAGCTTATAATTTTCAGTTGACTTTTTTTTTTATTTTATATTTTCTTCGAAAACTTATCTCAATGAATTATTTTGTTAATTTTTTTTTTCTGTCATATGTTCTTTTTTTCTTTCATTCTATCAGTAGTTTTACTCCTTTTACTGGATTGTAGGTAGAAATGATGAAGCATTGAGAAGATAGGATCCCAGGAAAGTTAAGAGGTCAACGATCCATTGACCGCGCCTTGAGTTTCGGACTTTTGGACTCTTCATTTCCAAATCTACTTTTTTTTCTATCTCTTTTCTCGCTGTCCGGTAGATTTTTTTTTCCATCGGACGCAGGTGTGTTTTTACCTGCTCATATTATCAATCGTTCAGCCAATAGATTGAATTATAAAAAGAAATGATGAAGAAAACAATTTGAGTGATCTATAGATCTCTCAAAATGTCTAACAAAAATTTGCACTTGATTAATAGTTATTATTTTTTTTTTTTAATATCTTATTGAATTAAATAAGAATCTTCAAAGAATCATTTAAAGACCTGAATTCTTCTTCACCGACATCAAAATCAAATCCAGAACGGTTCGGTCTTGAGTTCCGGCACGTGCTTGTTCGACATATCAACTTGTTTTTTTTAGGAATAAAAATTAAATGATGAACATCCAATATAAATAATAATCATAACAAGCTTACTACTTAATAGTCGGCGACAGGGAATCAGGTTTAGTTGAAGATTCTTTATAAAAAAAAAAAATAAAGTTTTTAAAATATATGAGAATGAACCGACGATCACGTGTCCACTGAGTGTCTCGATTTTGATCAGTTAATAGTGAAAAATATATCCTCAGTTATTATTTTCATTCATTTTATTCGAAAAAGAGTCAATATTTTTATTTGCATTTATTGCGTATCGTCGACGCAGTTAGATGAAATTGACAGTCATTGCAAAGAGTTCAATAATATAGGGGTAAATATAAAAAGCATTATAAAAGTTAGAATGTAAACTTGTTCACCTTGCAATTAAATCACCTGATATTATCAAGATGCTTAAGGCTGCATCAATTTGCGAGATATGTTTTTCATATCTTCTTTGTTTATTTTTTATCTTGAGAAAACGTGTGACAAGACGCGGAAGCTCATGCAAAAAACACCTGGATAATGCATTCATTGTAATTAAATTGAAAAAAAATAACAAACTAATAAAATCACGTAGTTGTGATGTCGATGTATCGATATTATTGTCCGTTCAATTGAGTCATGAGACAATCATAAATCTCTTGATGACTTTCGCAAGTGCACAACATGTACGATTTGCCTATGAATATATCTATACTCCCCTCCTCCTCTTTCCTCCCTTGCTGCAGTGCTTTAAAAATATTTACAACAAATTAATTATAAAAATTCAACGATTTTGAATAAATCTTTATTAAAGAGATTAATTGGTTGTAATTGTCATGTAATGAGTCGTAATTAATGCAATTATAATTGAATGTGCAATAAGCAATAATCATGAAAACATGAAAGAAATGAATGTGAAACAAGTGTAAATAGTCCAGAAAAATATACAAATTCCTCTAAAATGATCTCTTCCGGACTCCTTGAACCGCAACGACTTACCCGGTTAGACGAGAAAAATGCATCAAGGTAATGAACTTTTTAAATCATACACTTGTAGTAAAAAAGACATTACAAAAGGAATTGCGTGTAGTGAAATGTGTTCACTTAACCTTCATGATGGGACCGGAGAAAAAATGCCGGTCTTCAGGGACAATCTGAAGCAGGTTGAATTTCTTTTTAATTGACTGGTCAAGAAAATTTCCTGTCATTCTACTCATTTCCAAGTTCAATTCGGTCAACAAGTCTCATCTTCTATTTATAAATAAAACGACTTTACGAAATTCAGTATTTTAATTTATATAAAATAAACTATTTTTAGAAGCTTTATATTATAATTCAAAGTTGCATTAAAATTTTAAAAATGCAGTTTACGAACTGATTTATTTTTACTTAGTTTTTATTGTAGATGAGGTATTATTATGCCTCAAATAAGAAAAAATTGTTTGAAAAAACATTGACTACTAACCCTTGGTAATTTACTCCAAAAATGAAATTTCTAATTTTTCATTGATGTATTTCGAAAGAATTAAATACACACTTTTTGTTACATTTGATTTAAACGATAAAAGTTAAACGAGAATATATTCATTATAAAAAACAAACAACCACTTAACATGAAAATTAGAATATCATTTTATTTTTCATAATATTTTTTAATTTTAAACTTTTCTAAAATTTTTTTTATTGTTTCCTTTCTTTAATGAACTATTGTTTTTAATTTTTGTTATTACTTTACTAAACACTACTTATATACTCATATTTTTTTGATTCTTTTTTAAAACTAGCTCTTTCACATCACTATTTCTCTATTTAATTTATCTTCTATTTAAGCTTTTTAAAATCACGCCAAAAGTAATTTATCACAAAATTCCAGTTTTGAAGTAATAAACTCCAAAAAATGAGATTTCTAATTTTTTCATTGTTATATTTCTCAACAACTCTGTATAAATAGATTCACTCAATGAAACAACAATCTATGTACGTAACGGCGTTAATAATGATATAAAATAACATCAAAAAGACCATAATTAAATGTGACGTTGAACGTTGCTTTGTTTTTCATTTTAACCTCTTAAACGTGTTATATCAAGACAACTTAATAGAACTGTCTTATAAGGATCTAAAAGAGAAATTAATGTCAACATCTCAGCTATTTTTGTACAAAGTTTTTTGCTATCTAAATTATTAACGAGAAATTACAGACGTAATAGAGAGATTATATCTGGTGAATTGCTTAATTTACCGTCTTAGTCTATTTTCAAAAATACGACAATTATGTAAAGGCCTTGATTTGTCGACGTCATTCGGTTGCTGTTTTACATGAGAAATTGAGGAAAATAACCAAATTCACTAATAAATTAGTATAATTCTTATCTAATTATCAGAAAAAAAATATTATGTGATAGAAAAGAAATTAATTTTTAACATAAATTTTAATAATTTCCTCATCGGGCTTTTTTCGATGTAGATCCTCCCCATTTCCTTGATTTAAATGGCTAATATATTCATCCTAAAAATTATTCAAAATTTTATTTTTTCCCTTCGAGTTAAACTTATCTGTTTCCCTCTTTGTCTGGCTGATCATATATAAAATTATTCACTTTATAGAATACCTCATCGTTCATTCTAAACGAGCATAAAAAATTTTTAGTCTGCACTTGACAATAACGGAAAGAAGTAATTCGCGCGAGACCGACGTAGCATTATGATTCGACGTAACGAGTAAGTACTTTCCTTCCGGGATCGCTGCACGGGAGATGATGCTTATGGGTCGTGAATCACGTCGCAACGGTTTGCTCCCAAGCATGCATGAACATTAAGACATCACGCTTGAAGGTTATTCCTCATTTTTATCATTATCTCAGTCTAATAATTTCACTATTTACCTTCGTAAATGTTTTTCTATTTTATTATCTATTGTGTAATCATGATCTATCTGTATATTCGTATTTATACCATCGTTATTATGAGTCTTAGAAGCTAAACTGGTTCTCCAACAATATGTCAAATTAGCACGCCTATAGATATACGCCTAACGTCAGACATTATTCCTCTAAGCCTTGAAGAATTGCTTGATCCTGTGAATTAGAAAGACAAAAAGACTCCCATGACCCAGATTTAATTTTAATAGAATGACTTTGTACTGAGAGAATGTGGTGATAAATCCATAATAAATGGGTTAGGATTTTAACTTGAATAAACACTTTAATGAGTAAAAGCATCTTAGAAATACATCGCGTGACACTTTAAGTAGAAAACGAATCATAAATATACCTTTTATTGTATCATATATTAAAGTATATTTTATTTTAACATAATGATCCTTTAATGAATGACGATTTTTTAAAAAATTTCTTTCTTACAGCAATGTGGCGTCGCCAATCATCAGAAATTTCTCTACGCAAAATGATTCGCATTTGTCTCTTGCTGTGCATGGCCGTCTTATCAGTCGCACGATGTAACAAGGTAATATTATATTGTCTAGTTAAATATCATTTAAAGCTTCCGGAATTATTTGAAAGACAACAGGAGGAAGAGGAAAAAAAATGATTGACTGCGTAGAACAAAGAAATAATTAATTCAAAATTTTGAATGTTAAATACATGATGTAATGCATTACTTTATTTAGAATTATTTATTTGAAATCCATTATTTTCTATCCTGTTGTCTTTCAGAAAATTTGAATAATCATTGGTAACTTTGAAGAATGATGAATTATGAAAATTTTTGGAATAATTTTTTGTTAATTGCAACATTTTGGAATAATTTTAAAACTACTTCTGGTGTTTTTTTCCCTTAGAAATATTTTTAAGATGAAATACAGAGAGAAAAAAAATTAAATATGAATTGAAAAAGTATGTTAATTTTGCTTCAATTTAAACATAACTGTAATTGTTTTTAAAAAATTCTTGAATGCTATGTTTTTCTTACAAATTTTTCTTAAGACCTGTTGACAGAGAATAATTATCAAAGAATAGTAAATAACTTTTTTGACTAATAGCTTTATAAATGTCTTAACATCAAGTTCATTGTAATCATTAAAGAGTTGCTTTTAAACACTCATTTTTATAATTTACTTTTGAACTTCCGGGTGAAAAAAAAAATGTTAAAAATACAAAAAATTTTAAATTTAAATAATATTTATCCAAGTACCAAGTTTATTACAGTCATCTATAGTATCTTTTTAAGAGGTGCATTTTGAAAAATTTGTTTTACGATGCAGTTACTTCCGACAGATGTTCCGAGTCGTTGCACATTCAAACGTACACTTGCGGTTATAGTTTATTGCATAGTGGTAATATTTTTTGCCGTATTCACGGTTTAAGACAGCACGAATATCACAGAATAAAGCAGAAGGAAATAAGAATTGATGCATCTGAGTAGAACTAATTTTATAACTTTTCGTGTGGTTTGAACATAATCAGAAAATGTAACCGCATAAATAAAAACTACTTAACAAATAGATGTTAAGAAAATCGATGCTAATAATGTTTGATGAGACATAAAATAGCACATTCAAGTCAATTATTACACTCAATATAAAATTTTAATTGTCAGAATAAATGAAGTTTTATGCAATTCGTATATTTCTCGTATAACTTGCACAATAATTTTCTAGTAAATAAAAAATGAGCCACCTGACTGTGAAAATAAAAACAAGTGTATTACGCACTTCGTTTGAGTTTCGCAAATTCTCCAGAGTTATTTATATGTCTCATTAGGGTCTAATATTGCTCACTAAGAACGAAGCTGAGGAAACAACCAAGGACGCTCCGATTCTGGCAGTTACAACGCTTTTAGATTGGCTAATATTCCTTGTACATATTTGTAAATGCATTAAAAACTAAAGGGATTAGACACAGATTATGACTTATTGTTTCAAACTCACGATAAACAAGTTGTAAAATGCCAGTATTTTTTAAAAAAACTCCATCATCAAAGCCACGAGCTAACAAAAATCCCAAGATTTATCGGTTTGATCGATGGCTACAATTGTAAAAAAATATTCGATTCAAGTCGAGACATCCCCAGGGAGATTTCGTGATTTTCTCATCAAGATTAATCGGTTTTAATCTCTCGAGAAAGGCTGGTAAAAATGCAAAATGTTTTAACTCGTTTCCAAGTTTCATCGATCATCGAAGCAATCTAAATGCATTTTTATGGATTCCTCTTGGCTATTGAAATGTACAACTTATTTATCAACTATTGATTCGGGATAATTAATGAGCGTTAAATTTGTTGCAAACAATAGCTAGTGAATTCTGAGCGGATAGACGATGAATAATATGTTAATAGATGTGACGAATATAAAGCGAAAAAAGAGAAAATGTAAAAGAAGAAGAAATATTCTATGGACTGGATTTAACACTGACATACCTTGACTGGATATATTTACACCCGAATCCTTTCACTCTCGATTTGGATGGAGGTCGACTCATCCTTTTGCAGATATTCCAAGTCACATTTCTAAATACCTAGTGAAAGAAAAAAATTATATTATTGGACAGTTCAGTTTTTCTAGATTTCTTTAAATAAATAAACAATTAATTTGGTTTGTGATCCATAATTATATCATCTCAACAAGCGGAATAATCGTAAATTTGTGCTAAAAAAAAAAAGAGTTATTCAATGAAGAAAAAAATATAGGAATTAATTATTGGTATAATTTAGAGTTAATGATATCTCTTTGACGGATATCAATTAATAACAGTGGTAGTTTGCATCACCCGGAAAGTGAAAAATAAAACAAGAATGTATTGGAGATATAGAATAGATAAAATCTTGAGAAAACGATTGATTATATCAGATCATTGTATGGAGACAAGTGTTTAAACGAACATTGATCGTCTTGCTCATCCTTTCACTCTTGGTAACTTGTTTTCTTAAGATATTTTATCATTAAGCCCACACCTTTATCCACGACCTTTTACTGCTCGCATTTACGGAACGATCTTTTCATTGACGGTTAAACTTTTCCTTTTTTTCTTCATTGGACGCTAAAGGTAAAACATAGTGAAGATGAACACTCATTTTATCTTGTATCTATCAACTTTGTACAGTGAAAGTGACTATTTTTCTTTTTTTATTTCTTAATATTTGTGTTCAAGTAATAGTTTGTTATTTATTGTTCTTTTACAGATTCACCATCACATGACGGCAGAAGAACTGCTAGCAGTATTTCACACAACAGATCATGAGACTGGTAAATATTTTATTTCCATCACTATTAAATTATTTTTTTTTTCTTTATCCTTGAGTGGAACTATTTTCATTAATTAATCAATTTAATTAAATAAACAAATAAATATACCTGTCAATTTTGATTAAAAGATAAATAAAAAAAAAACTTTCAATTTTGATGAGTAGTTGTATTTATAAAATATATTTTTTTTTCAATAAAATTCATCTTTAAAACCCTCATTTTTTATTCTGCCAATTTTTCTATGTCTACAACACTTCAGTTTAAAACCGTGAACTGACTTACGTACAGCTGTATCTGTTATGTAAATGAATCAGTGACTCATCGGAGTCTTCAATAATTTTTCGACTTATTTATTCCGTTATTGATTAGAAAAAGTCTGAAAAATACGGTAAATATCAAAGGAAAAACGATGTGTGATTTTTTATTCAAACCAATAAAAGGAATAGGTTGATAATTTAAGGGGAATTGAAAAGGTTGATTTCATTCAGTGATGAATTAATTTGATGATCCATTCGTTGTGAATTTTTTATTAGAAATATCACTCGCTAAATGTATGTATAAAATACTATGAATTAATCCCGATGAATCATCATCATCATCAAATATGAATTATTTATTAGAGGAACCGAACAGTCATGTGTTTAATTCAGGTGTTAGGTAAAATAAACGGTCAATGGGTCATTCACATCTAAATGGCTGAAGATTTTTTTCTCACGCAATGTTCTTCTAACACTCAAGGAAATAAATATACACACATGAGCGTAAATAAATAAATAAGACATAAATTGATATGAATGACTGAAATAATTAAAAAATAAACTTGCATAAATTTAAGTAAAGTAATAGGTGATGATTAAGACTTGTATTTCCATTTTTGTAATATTTAAGTGCCAGCGTATGAGGTGGTGCCCATCGTACACTCAGCACACAAGAGGAGTCCGGAAATTGAGCCCGAAGTCCACTTGAAAGCGTTTGGGAAGAATTTTAATTTGTCCCTGAAGCCAACAGAAGGACTTTTATCTTCTGGCAAACATATCTCTATGTGGACAGTCTCTAGAAATAACTCAAGTCCCAATGGACTCTATTACGAAGAAGTGCCAGAGGTGAATTCATCATTAGCAATCACTTTTCTTTACAAACCATAATCTTAACATTAGTTATGTAAAAAAATAACTGCCTATCATTTACTCCAAAATTGATGGGAAAATCGTAACTACTTGGAAAATTTTTCTCATAGAAAAACATTTAATTTGACATAAATTATATATTTATTTATGACTATATTAAAAAATTTTTATATCAATATAATCTCATAAATTCCATACATAATATCATTCAGTTTTTACTGTCATTATATATTTTTTACCAAAAAAAGAAAAAAATTATTACGACTTAAAATTTTTTTTTCCATTCAGTTATGATAATAAACCAGTAGAATAATAAAACCTATAATTTTTTTTTAAAAATCTATTTAAATATTCCTCGATCACGGAATTTAAATGTTATTCGATAATTAAATAATTTTTTCCGACATCCAGGGAAGTGCAGATATCGGTGACATATACCAGGACCCCTCAAACATGGCGTCCATATTGTTACATCGAGATGCGAGTGGGAAAGTGCTTGTGGTAAGACTCAATTCTTGATTATGAATTTTTTTCAATCTCATCTGAGAGCATGTTTCTTATTTTCCTCCCTCATTCTCTCCATGTTGCTCTCACTCTTTTTGTTCCTGTATCCCTTTCGTCACATCACGATGCAGTTATTATGCCCTACATTTCGTAAACGCAGTCCGGGCTCTCTCAGGCTCTCAAGACCGGGCGTTGTATTTATAATTATGGCAGCACAACCGCGATTCATCGTGTGGTTGCCGACGGAAAACAATTAGAGGGTGGCAAACAATCGTAGCTGCGTGGCGGATGGTGTTGCGAGACGAGAATTCCCTCAGCAATATTTCTCTTTCTGTTTTTGTCACGCATCGTTCACTGTCCTAGTTTCAATTTATATACATATACATACTTTCTGCAATTTCCGTCTACGTGACACTATCATTTTTCTTCAATATCACTTATTACTCTGTTTAATGGGATTGAAAAATAAGTTAGGATGCAACAGCATAATTAATGTGAATTTCAAGTAATTATCGAGAAGCTCAATGATGTTAACCTCGGAGTAACCTCGAGATGAGCACAAGGTAGAAGACAATTAGAGGGTAGTAGAGAATTGTCCTCGTGTGGCTTTGTTCGTTAGCATTGCCGCGAATATTCCATTACGAGAAATACCACAGAATTGTCTTCTTGAGCATCCTAGTCTCTCGATCACGCACCGCTCATCATCGTGGTTACAACGTTCATTAGTGTCCTCACCTTGTTCGCAATAGACATTTCATTATTATAAAGCATCAACGATTGACGATTACGATAATTTTCATAATTCATAACTTTAGATTCTAACTTGACATTTATTCTATTCTACTATTTATTTATTGTTTAACTATCAGTCGCATCAATCTATGATATTTTATCTATGGGAAACATTTTGTACGCAAAAGGTTTCCAAATGTCGCTATAGTTTAATTGTACCTATCGTAATTCTTCTTATTTATTGGAGATCATCCTCCGTATATCAATGACTCAATAAACATGTTAATTACGTGAGTGACCGATTATATAATTCCCCAATGTGAAAATAATAATACTCCAAACGAACCCACGTGTCCTGACCTTTCGCTTTCACTCTCTCTTTTCTGACTCTTCGGGTACCCATCTCCATTGCGTCTGATGAATGATCGATTAAGAGCGCACGTTTATTTATGATATAATCTCAATTTATTTAATACTTACTTGCTCATTTGCATATCACAGATACATTAAAAGTTGAAATAAACTACTTGTATTTTTTTTTACAATTTTTTAAAGCCATTTTTGTCGATAATTTTTGGTTAATTTCTTTTCTAAATAAGGAGATGCGTGGATGACATAATTTTAGAGACTGTTTCATGGTCAAAGAAATTTATATTAGAATGTATAATTCCCAAGAGATTATTATTCATACTCATTGTTTTATGATAATATTCATTATAAATATTTAGATTTTATTTTAATAAATATTTTATTTGAAAATATTATTTTGTAAGCATTAAAAGAAAATATTTAATATGTTAAAAGCACTCATTTTATTCAAATTTATCATTTCTATTATCGACAGTCGGAAGTTGATAATTTAAAAAATAATTTCGCTATTCCTTTCATTCTAAACTCCCATTATGAGATTCTCAAGAATAGAAATAAATAAAAGAAGATAAATGATTTAGGAAGGAAATATTGAGTCTGACTACGTAATCCGTCCACTGCCAGAACGTATTTTAACTGATGTGATTGACAAAACTGAAGCCTTTCATGAGTCTCATCTACTGCCAAATGTAACGAGAACTAAGAGGAGTCTGAGTCAAACACATCATCACGTTGTTTATAAACGTATAACTAAACCTTCAGATGATAAATACAGTGATTTTGGTAAGTTTTTCAGAATCTAGCATAAATTATAAAAGTTAAAAAGAAAGAAAATGTGTGAGTATTTTTTATTTCTATCATCATTATGATTTTTTCTAGCTTTTATGGAACCGGACCACCTAGCTAAAAGGTTTAGGTCGAAAAGATCAATTAACTCAAGAGCAAAACGCGAAGCGCCTTATGTAATCTATCCGGAAATATTATGTATTGTAGATTACGACGGCTATAGGTGAGATAATTGTTTTTTAATTCAATTCTAGTATCATTGTGGTATCATTATTCAAATAAAGTCGAAGTGAGTGACACTAATTTCCATTAATTAAATCAATACGCATCTCAAGGAAATAATGGAACGTATGTTTATAAAAAGTTGCGTTATCTAATGAATAAATGTATGTCTTCATCATGCGATTTATCATCTTTTTTATTTTTCTATATTTTATACACAGATTGCACAGTGGTGACAATGTGCAAATAAAACGATACTTTGTATCATTTTGGAATGGAGTTGATTTGAGGTATAAACTATTGAAAGGACCTAAAGTTCGCATCAGCATAGCAGGAATAATTATTTCACGAGTAAGAAATTTATTTATTTATTCATTTTTATTTTATGCTTGAGTTAACTAATCAATTCAAAAGATTGAATCGTACTAATGGAGGTGAATTTATTGGTTTTGAATGTTTATTTATTTTTTTATCTCTCTTTTAAAGGCAAGGGATGCGACACCTTACTTGGAAAGCAATCGCGTAGGACGTGATGCCATAGATTCAGCAGCTGCATTAACCGATATGGGCAAATATCTTTTCCGGGAGCGAAGACTTCCGGTTTATGATATTGCAGTTGCTGTGACAAAGTAAGGGTAACCATATATTTACGTAAATAACTATAAGTTTTTTTTTCCATGTATTTAACAATAATCAGGATATAATCTTTTATATAAGAATTGTAATTATTCTACTTTCTTTTTTTAATTTTTTTACACTTGTTTGTGTTTTTTTTGCTATTATTATTTATTTTTTAAATCCATTAGTGTTTCAATTCGTCATTTTATTCCCACATAAATTTCTTTCACGTTTGCCATTTAAATAATTGCCGCTAATTTCACCGCCACTCTTTAGTTGTATTTAAGTACTTTCAAGTGTGAATGATTTGGAAGAGAAAAAAAAAAACTAAAGAAAAAAAAATATTGTGAGACTAGCGTATTATATTTTCTTATGATTATCATGAATTCGTAAATGGATGTTAAAGGAAATTTTTTAAATGGCTAGTAATTAAAAAGATAATCAACCCTCGTCTTCTTGGACCACAAAATTCTGATGGTCAAGGCTCTTGCCTTATCACTAAAAATTATTTATAGAAACAAAAAATTATTTTATAGCATTTTTATTGAATGATAAACATTTATATCCTTTCAATTACTATTAATTTTTTCTGGAAAACAGGTATGATATGTGTCGTCGTAGGAAAGGCGGTCGATGCACAAAAGGAACTGCTGGTATGATCAATTGCACAAAGAATAATTAATGATTGATTTTAATTACGTTTATTATCATTATTAATATATTTTTTAATGAATTGAACATTTAGTTATTTTATTATCATCATCATTTCATTTTTCATTTGTAAATATTACTCATCTCCATTATTTATTAGATGTTGTATACCAGCATAACTTATCATTTAATAATAGCTTGCTAATGTTTGGCTTTTGGATTAATACAGCAATTAAAAATACAATCTAGTGGCCCTCGAGAGAGTCAACATCGATGCATCGAATTCTTAGAATGCAAATATTCAAGGATGATTCTTCGTAAATTGCATTATTGTATTTATGGTTTTTTTTATTGTTTGCTCTTATCCAGTAATTTTTTATGGCTATATTATTTCCATGAAAAATCTAAAGATTTTTTATTGTTGAAATATGTCTCGTGACATGGTTAGTGATCATGAGGGTAATTGACGAAAAATAATAAAGAAGATTTTTCTATTGTTGCGTTGCAGATTAGATATGTGCAGGAGACAATATACTCATGACGTGTGCAATAGAGGAACTGCAGGTATGTTTCACGAAACAAAGTGAAAACAATTCTAATGAAATGTTCTCTTTTTTATCTGAAACGTCTCTTGTTTGATTTTTATCCATCCTTATCATTGTGCACTTGCACCAATTTTGTTATCTATCACTGTGAAATGATTTCTAGAATTAGTATACTACTTCAAACAATATCGTAATTATGTTCACGCACTATTACATCACTTTATCGTTTATTTTCAGTTTTATAATGAATTCAAAATTTATGCTGAAAATTACTCGAAAGCATTTCCCAATTTATCTCAGTCTTCACTGCTAGCTCTTTTTTTTACAAACACTGGCTTGAACTATCTACATTCTTTGGCAACTATTTTCAACGACGAAAATAAGTATCACTATTGTGTTGTACTTCCTTCTGCACGTTTTTGTATCTTTTTTTATATTCTGTTTATTTTGTCTGAGTATTATTTCTGTCAATACTGAGTATTAAGATTATTTTTTATCTTGTTGAAAATGAATCACCATTCTGGTAAGTTTTTCTGCTCTCAAAGTTGATTCTCAACCAACTTTAAGGGTAAAAATTCACATGCATGACGCTATTGCGATGGCCACTAGTGTGACATTGAAGCATTACTAAAAAATTTTCTATTTTATTTTATAAACTAACATATACTATTTATTTTTTATTAATTCATCAAATTCAATAAGTTGTATTAAAAGTAAATTAACTTCTTCAGTTTGAATATTGTTTTTTAATAATGTTAACAAAATAATATATAATAAAAAGACGTTAATCATAATTCAAACTGAATGGGTTTAGAGTAAAGTAGTATGATTAACTGTGAACATTAAAAACATTTTAAAAAATGTTGGCTTAATAAGAGTTGTAATATGAATAGTAACTATCAGTTAGTTCTAACAATTTACTACAATAAAAAACATCATTTTCAATGGACTTTCTCTATGTAGGATTTGCGTATGTGGGTGGTGCTTGTGTCGTTAACAAGAGACTTGAGAAGGTCAATTCAGTTGCAATAATTGAGGACACCGGAGGATTTAGTGGAATTATCGTCGCAGCTCACGAAGTTGGTCATTTGTAAGTCATTAACTTTCTATTCTCTTTCACGTTATTATTATTATAATCGAGTAATAAATAATAATGATTATCGAATAAATAATAATTGAATAAATTATAAAACTTATACATGATTTATCTATTCAGACTGGGGGCTGTACACGATGGTTCACCTCCGCCAAGCTATCTCGGAGGGCCAGGTGCTGAGAAGTGTCGTTGGGAAGATGGTTACATCATGAGTGATCTCAGACATACAGAGAAGGGATTTAAATGGTCACATTGTAGTATTTCTTCTTTTCATCACTTTCTCAAGTATGTTATCTTTCTTTTTCGGGTTTTTTTGTTTTGAATAATATTTTCATGATCCTCGAATTTTTACGGAAAAACCCAAGGAAGTTTGATTAGTCATCGTTTACCTAAATATAATATTATTTTTTTCGAAAGATAGATGAAGGACAAAATAATTTTGAAATTAATTAAAATAGATAAAATAATTTTCTAAAATAAATAAATTAATGATTATATTTTTTTTTTGTAGTGGAGACACAGCCACTTGTCTGCACAATGAACCACATGAAGATGAAGCATTACCAAGAGTTTTGCCAGGAAAATTATTATCACTAGACGCTCAATGTCGCAAGGATCGTGGCACAAGTGCATGTTTTGTAAGTTCATCTTCTTTAGTTAATAATTTTAAATGAATCGTTGGAAAGCTTTGCCTATAATCGTAACGTAAATGTTTTTTGCTATTTATAGAAAGACGATAGAGTGTGTGCACAATTATTCTGTTTCGATGCGGGCTCTGGCTATTGCGTAGCATATAGACCGGCTGCAGAAGGTTCACCCTGCGGAGATGGACAGGTAAAAAATAGAAATAAACTTCTTTATTAAAGCGCTCATTATTGTAATAAAAAAAATTAAATATATGTGATTATTCTGACGTTTATTGCTTATTATCAATAATAGTCATTACTATTATTTACGACAAAAAAATGTTGAATAATTTTTATTGTTCGCTGTGTAATGATTATTAATATTCATATTCTACGATTTTATTTCCAGTATTGTTTGAATGGAAAATGCGTGGCTGAACATGAAAATATTATTCCGGATTATACTCAAAATATTCCGACTTATGTACGTCGTGACAGCATTTACAATCCTGGACTTCGGCCGAATTTGGCACCATATAATAATACAGAGTACAGGTAAACTGTCTAAGAAATTTTAAAAAAATAAACAAAAATAACATAACAAAGAGTAATTTAATTGTTGACAGATTTTTTGACATAAAACATTAACTATCTAACATTTGTGACTTAACAAAAATTATTAACAAATAAACCAATTAGAGCTTTAGAATGATTTTAAAAGATGAGCTTAACTGACTAATATTTTGTTAGTATAGAATGCATGAAGATGTGATAAAAGTTCATTCATATTGTTCATCTAACTGAAAAATAGTGAGGTAAAATTTAGAAAGCAAAATTAAAAAATATTGTGATGATATTACTACACAGGTATCCTTGGGAATCAACGACACAATACACACCACAGAAAAATAACGAGTATTCAACAGCATACTACGCTGTTGGCAATAAATACCCAACAGTACCGGTTAATGAATTGTCATACAATCATAATCAAATGCCATATCAAACAACACCTATGTATTACAACAATGACTTGAGTTACAGTTATAGTACTACACAGTCAAAACCTGTTTACCAGCAACCTTATTATAAAAATTACAACCAATATTATAATTATGACAAGACTTCTAAACGATATAATAATCACTTTAATAATATTATTGATGTTAATAACAATTATAATAATCAAAACTTTAATCAAAATTATAATCAGAATTATAATAAGTACAATAATAATCAATATTATAATCAAAATCGATATTATAATGAGATTACTTCAACGACTCCAGAAACAACGACAACGACACTTGCCAGGAAAAAACTTATTCATTTTTATAATTACTATTTCAACGAACAGACAACGACCATTAACCCCATTACTCCTTATTATTACGAAAATATGTTGAGTAATGAAGTAAATCCGTACAATTATAAGAGTTCCATAACTGCGTCCACTGCCACAGAAGACCAAAATCGTCGACAGTATACAGGTCGTGGTAAGAAAAAATTGGAGAATCAATCAAAAATTTTCAACTTTCCTGTCATCTTTTATGTGACTGACATTTCTCTTTTCTGGTTAAATAAAATATTTCCAAAATTTCTTAATTCTTCGGTTCTCGAAAATTCTTCACTGACTGCACTTTCCCTGTTCTGACGAATTTTATATCATCCAATCATTAAAAATTCTCAGACTTTAGAAAAAAATTTATGATTAATTAAGAAACATATAAAAAATAACATCTGTATCTAATTATACAATCTTTATCGCTCGAGGTTTTTAAAAAGAAATGTTATGGAAATTTACCTGTTCCAAACTCACTTAAAAATATAATATTTATGCTTTTAACTGAAACCGAAAAGGTCTAAAAAAACGACTGAAGGTCATGCAAACAGGTATTATGATATAATTTATAAATGTCTTAGGCACTCGATCAATTGACACCTGCAGCTTGACAATTAATCATGCATTTACCAACCAGACAGAAAATTCTTGTCACTTTTGACTATACTAAACTTCAATTTATTTATTAAAAAAACAAGTACTTCATCAATTATCTCATGTCATTTCAAAGAATGCATTTCTGTTAATAGGAACAGAGGACGGTGAGTGCATTGATACAGCGACAAACTGCGCGGAGCTGATTGACAGGCTGAGAACGTGGCTGTGCCATCTACAATCTGTGAAAATTCGCTGCTGCGCCTCACTCAAAGCGCTTTGCAGTTAGAGTTAAAGAAAAAAGAAAATAATATAATTAATTTCTAATCTTTAAAAGGACACTTGCGCTGAATTTTCGCGGTTTAAACTTTTGCCACGGACTGCAGTGTTCATTCAACACAAAAATTAAATAAAAAAACCAGCTCAAATGTTAAACAAAGCATTTGAATAAATTTTTATGAAGTTATTAAATAAGATAAAAAAAATGTAATTTACTTCCGTTATCGTAAGAATTATATATTAAATAAATATATATAGTCGCGATATTGATAACAAGAGTTTTTATAAGTAGCATTTATATTATATATGTAGAAAAATCACAAAAAGTCTCAGAATGTTTTTAAGAGAATTTTTGATGATTAAACAAAAATTTTTGTTATGTAAGAATAAATCATAGTGATCATTATCGATTCTTTTTTCATTTATTATTACCTGTTTTATCCTTATTTACATCATGTTAGTATATGTATTATTTACCCATCGAATAAATATGTTTATTCTTTATAATAAAAAAAATAATTTATTTGTGAATTAGTAAAATAAATAAATCATTGATTTAATATTGCTAATATTCTTCTGTTTATTTACATTTTCTATCTTGTTTGAATATCAATGAGGTCAAGTACAATTCGCAGACCATGTGAAGGTCAACATTATTATCAGAATTCAAGGTCGTAATAAAATACATAGAGATAATTTGCTATTGGACTTGACCTAATCATTTAAATAAAACTTCTGTAGTAGAATGAATTAATTTTTTGCATTAATTAATGATTGTTGAATTTGTGTAAAGCTTGTATTAAGATAACTTAATAATGAACAAATTAATTGATCAAACCGTTGTAAATCTTTAAAATATATGATATGTACGCAAGTGGTGGATTTAAGATTTTTAAAGGACAAAAAATCATGTAAAAAGTTACTTATTTCGTGAATTCAATCGTAATTAATGCATTTTCATTTCAGTCTCATTGAGTAGTTTATTAAATTTATTCCATTTCAATTATTGTATCTCAATTATTCTGTTTTATTTTTTTATTCAAAAGGATGATAATTAACTTCAAATTACTATTAACAATATTTATTATTTATAATATTAATATTTCTTATAGTTCAGAAGTAAATAAATTATTTACAGTAATTTTCAAAAATTAATTTTAATTGTGATTTTTTATCGTTATGTAATTTCTAGATTCATCATTTTATGACCAAAGATGAACTACGTAAAATATTTCAAACAACTCTTAATGAAGGTAATTGTATCACCGATTAATTAATGATAATTAAAATAATTAATCCAACTGATAAAAATGGTATCTTGATAGAAATCTCTTGTTTTAGTTCCTCAATATGAAGTCGCGTCAATTTCGCATACGTTACATAAAAGAAGTGTAGATGAAAGTCAAATTGTTAGAATTCACACGCGGAACGAAAGTGTTCGTTTATATTTAAACCCTACGGAAGGATTTTTGATAGGAGAGAATACTCCAGTTTGGACAGTTATGCCAGATAGATCTGCCTCTGAAGGTCTAAAATACCAACAAATAGAAAACGTAAGTCCAGAACTAAAGTTGAGAATTTTTTATTCAAATTTATATAAGTGATTGAAAATATTTTTGAACCTAAATTCTAAAGGCATTTGACAATATTGGAAAAGCATATCAAGATGTTGATAGTGATTCAGCGTTGGTGATACAAAAATCACCAAATGGTGATGTAAAACTATATGGAAGATTTCGTTCAGATTTTGTAATAAAACCAATACCAACTCGAATATTAACTGCCTATCCTAGATCAAGCAAACTTGTTAATGAGACTGGAGATGACTTTGAGCAGAACTATAGTCACATAATATATAAACGACCCGAGTACGATGATGATCAAATAAAGAATGGAATAAGTACGTATTAGATTAATTATATTAGAGGATTATAATCAAGATAATTGCAGTTAAAAGTTTTTTATAAAGTTTAAAAATGTTATTCTGAATAAATTCTTATTTTAGAACTTGTTGAACGCTATCACAAAAATCGTTTTGGTTACGGACGAATGAAACGAAGCCTTCCAGATATTATTTATCCAGAATTATTGGTGATTTTGGATTATAGTTTATACAAGTAAAAGAATTTTTTGACTTTTTTGAATAAATAAGTCTAGTTTATTAATATGCAAATTACTTTGTTCAATGGATTTTAGTGTTCTTGGTAAAGATTATGAAGCAGCAGTTCGATATCTAGTGTCATTTTGGAATGCAGTTGATTTGCGATACAGGACGATGACTGAACCACAAATTCGATTGAATCTTGCAGGATTTATTATTTCTATAGTATATATTAATCTAAGCGTTTTTTAAAAAATTTAATTAATTAATCAGTTATTAATCGTTTTAGAAATAATATAATAAACTATTCAAATTATTATAGAGAGAAGGAGGAACTCCTTATCTAGAAGAGCATCGTCGAGGAGTAAATGAGCTAGATGCTGATGGAGCTCTACAAAATATGAGCCAATATTTTTTTAGAGAGTCCAGATTTCCATTTGAAGTTTATGATATGGCTGTCGCATTAACTAAGTAAAATATTTTTAACAATTTTTTTTCCTTTCACATGGTATTGGTAATACATTAAACATAAATCTACTCAACAGCTTGGATATGTGCAACATTGAGTACGGCTATTGTGATACATCAACCTTAGGTGAATTTCTTGAATGAAATTATAAATTGCTCTTTTGTTAATACAGATATGATACTTGATTATTGTTGAATTAATTTCTTGTGATAAAAATGTATAAATTATTTATTTAGGCTATGCATATGAAGCAGGAGCATGTAACAGAAGCTCAATTGATTTAAATACTGAAGCAGTTGGGATAATTGAAGACAATGGTGGATACAGTGCTGTTCTTCCTGCTACTCATGAAGTAGCACACTTGTAATAACTATTATTTTGTTCTGTGAATTAAAACAATTGTTGATATAATTATTTCACATTAATTATAATAGTCAGTAATACATATATTTCATTACAGACTAGGAGTTCCACATGATGGAACTGAAGACACTTTTACTTGCTCAGGCTATGAAGGATTCATTATGACTGGAACAGTGACATTTGGTAGAAACAGCTTTTTCTGGTCTGATTGCAGTAAAAAAGCATTCTTGGATTTTTTTAAGTAAATTTTAATTTTTTTAACATCAGTTGTTATTTATAAAGAAATTTTTTTACTGCGAAATTTTTTACAGTTCAGAAGATGCTGCTTGTTTATTTAATAAACCTAAAGAAAGTCCACCATTGCCTCGACTTTTACCCGGACAAATAGCAACGCTTGATGAACAATGCAGCAAAGTTTTTGGCACGAGAGCTTGTTATGTAAAAATATTGATTATAAAAACATGAACAAGACATTGTTTGTGATATATTTTATTTAAAAAAAATTCATGATTCATAGCTTATTTGTTTTCCTTATCTCTAGCATGACTATAGGGTGTGTATCAGACTAGACTGCTACATTCCTCGAGGAAATGGAACTTGCAATGGCATATCAGCAGCAGCTGAAGGATCGGATTGCGGAAATGGCATGGTACTATATACGCACTTTCCTATAGTGAAAGTTTTGAATTTTATTACAACTTTTTCTTTAAAGTTTTTCATGTCTTCGATCTATTAAGTTTTTTTTTCTATCATTTTTTAGCATTGCATTCGTGGAAATTGTATCCTGAAAAATGCTACAATGATACCTGAAACTAAGCCTCCAAAAAGACCGATAAACCCAATTAATCCTTTCAGAAATAAATTTAGATTTCAACATTCATCATGGGAATGACTTGCACGCAAAACCACTGTAGAAATAAGATGAGAAAAGTTGTACATTTTTGTACAGGTGTAATAGACTGTTTTACTTTCTATTTATTTAATTATTACCTACATGTATTTATTTATTTACTTATTTATTTATGTATAAATGAACATTTTAACGATGTAAATAAACAATTTCTCCAATGAATTTATCAAATGACCACGTTATCGATATCCAAGCCTATTAAAGATACATAATAAATTTATTTCCTGACTTTTTATCACTCAATGCAGATCCATTAATTAGATTTATGGACTCAAATTCATCAATAAATAATTTATCTCAGACTATCGTATTTAATTTATTAACCTGAAGAAAAAAATTTACAATACTGACTCGTCGAAAAGGTTTTATTGCAAAATGAAACGCCGTGACAGCCTTTTGTTACTTGCTCTACTACTTTCTTCCATAAGGATTAGTTACCAAGTAAGTTAATTCACTATTATTAATGTTTAGTGATTGCTTATGTGAGCAGTATAAATTACTTTATGTCTTTATTTTATTTTATGGACAGCTTCTTGAATTAATAACCGATAATGAAATTCAATCTATTTTCCAAACAAATAGAAATTCAGGTAAATTTTAGTGTAAAATATTTTTGATTCTTGAAATTCAACATTTTTGGGACAGTTAATTTATTTTTCTATTATCATGAATGAGTATTAAAAAAAGTTTCTTAATTATCAGTGCCAGAATATGAAGTTGTGCCAGTGTTACATTCCATGACAATTAAAAATCCCAGAAATCCAGAAGTACATTTCAAAGCATTTGGTCACGACATTTCACTTTATCTTTGGCCCACAGAAGGAATGTTATTTGGAGAACATACGCCTATTTATACAGTAGAAAGTAATCGATCGGCATTCAAAGGTCTCCATTATACAAAATACAATCAATATGGTGTAAGTTTACGTGTCCAAAATTTTTTATAACTATTTTTTCCTGCTCCAATTAACATATTAACTAATCTTTCCTGATATATCTAGCTCTACTATGCCTTCAGAGATGAGGAAAACAACGCAGCTATTATTGTTCGTCAAGACAAGCAAAAACGATATAAATTTGTAAGTTATTTAAATTTTTTTAGCTGTTGAATAAATATGTAAAACAATTAATAGTCACATTATTTAAGGATGGCACCTTTAATAAAAAATATGTTATACGATCATTACCAGAACGAATAGTGGAAAAAATAATTAAAAGAAATAAGTCATACTTCAAATCGAATCTATTTCCAAAAGCAGTATTAAATAATCCATTATACACATTAACTAATCACCATGTCATCTTTAAAATGAGTGAAAAGCATAATAAACTTAAAAATCCAAAAGATATAATTTTTTCTGGTATGTATAAGTTTTAAACTTAAACATTTATAAATAGAAATAAATTATCAATTTTAAAGAGTAATTTTTAATAACATATTTGTTTTAATCATTAGCAACAGATGAGTTGTTGAGCAATCAAGATATCTCAATGATAATGAATAAATTACATGAAGCGAAGGGCAATCAGAATACTGTCTACCCTGAAATTCTTGTTATTGTCGATTACGATACATTCAAGTAAGTTAATTAATTATTTCTATTAGAAATAACTATGTATTTTAAAATATGTTAATTAATGTTGTTATTTATAAACTAATCTATTAGATCATTCGGATCAGATATATCAGAGACTTTAGTATATTTATCAGCCTTTTGGAATGGAGTGGACTTAAGATATAGAATATTAAATAACCCTAAAATACATCTTAATCTGGCAATAATAATAATTGCATTGGTAAGTTATTTTTTAATGTTAATATTAAATTGACAACTAATTGTCTTGTTAAATTTGCGTAAATCCTTCTCAAATTCCCCTACGATACAATTTTTACTTCAATTCCTATTGCATCATAAAGAGACTTTTTTGTTCCTGGATATCCTTCTAGAATAGAATCAAGGGCTTCTGTGCAAAGTCTTTTCCTTTTAGAGTATTCTCGAGAATACAAATCGAGCGACTTTTGTACTTGCTTCTTCTTTTCACTCAAATCCTGAGATCCATTTGACTGCATGAGACTATCTAACCGTTTCTCGAGCTGCTGAATTCTCGTCTTTCTTTCCTGATGGTCTTTTTGAGCTTCTTCTAAAGACGGTGCAGATTGAAGAGCGACTAAAGTTGCTTGTTTAGCTTTTACTTCTTTTTCAATAGTCGCAAGCTTTGACTCCAATTCAGTTGCATGAGTTTGCAGTTCACGATCGATCCGAATTAATTCTCGAGCATCTTTTTTTGTATCTGGTAAAATACAGTAAATTTTTTGTTTTCCATAAAGCTAAAAAGATAGTTAATTAATCAATAATACTAAAAATAACGCCTTATATAACTTAGCATAAGAATAATCGATTAAAAAGTAAAATATAAATTAATCTGACCTTCTGAAAAACTTTCTCCTGCTTCACTAATTTATCCAATGCCTGCTGGATAGTCTTCTTATCCGTTTCTTTTGGAAGATTTGCAACAATATCATTAACATTATATGGTCGATGACGAGTCTTCAAAAATTGATATACAACATCAGTTGCCATAATATTATGAAGTCTAAAAAAAAATAAACAAATGTAGACTACAAAATTATCAAACCAAATAATAAAAAATTTTTTAGGACAATGAAGCTACACCTTACTTGAATAAATATAAAGTCAGTGATATTGCTATTAGCAGTGATGCTATGAGTGATGTAGGAAAATATTTTTATGAAGAAACAAGATTTAGTAAGAGCTCTTATGATATTGCTGTTGTTATGACAAGGTGAGAAAGAATAATTTTTAAAATTAATCAAGTCAATAAAAATTGAGTAATTTACGTTTTTATTATTATTGTAAAGTAATTATTATTTATTTTTTGTGACTTGTATGTATTTTAAAACCTGATTATGGTTTTAAAAATATTGTGTTGTTATATTTATATTAGAATGTAAGTGAATTAATGTTAAAAAGAAAAAAGTAACACTTACTTTTTACTCAGATTAAAAATATGTGAATGGCCAGTAATGAGAAATAACGAGTCCGAGTGTGCTGCTTTAAGAGGTATGACGCATACAGGTACTATAAGGATGATTAGTAACATTTTTACAAAAGTTACATACATTTTAAAATAATAGGCATAAGTAAATTTGGATCAGCGTGCGCTTGGAATGAAGAGGGTAAAAAATTGGAAGCAATAGCACTTGTTCATGACGAAGGGTTTAATGGAATTCCTACTGCTGCTCATGAACTAGGACATATGTAAGTTTTACCTTAAAACATATTTATCTATTTCAAATAATGATAAGAAATATTTTTCTCAACATAAATATTATAGATTAGGAGTTCCTCATGATGGTTCACCATCTGCAAGTTATATTGGAGGTCCAGGAGCAACTAAGTGCAGATGGGAGGATGGATACTTGATGAGTAGTAATAGGTTTACCGAGAATGCTTTTAAATGGTCATCATGTAGCATAGAATGCTTCAAATATTTTTTAGGGTTAGTAGTTTTCATGTTCGATAAAAGCCGATAAATATTGTTATTGATTGCTAATTTTTTTATAGAAAACCTGCAAGCAAGTGCCTTTATAATAGACCAAAACTAAATATAGAACTGCCAAAAATTTTACCAGGAACATTAATGTCTTTGGATGAGCAATGTTATAATGCAGGAGCTTTAGATGCTTGTTATGTAATTATCAATTGTAAAAAAAAATTGTTTAAAGTAATTAATTAATTTTACTTCGATAAAATCATTCAATAATGAATAAATTATTACAGCACGATGAAAGAGCATGTACGCTGCTCTATTGCACAGATAGAAACAACACAAATGAATGCTATGCTACATCGCCAGCAGCAGAAGGATCAACATGTGGAAATGAAAAGGTAGTAAAAATATAGATTTATCTTTAAACAATAATTAAAAATGTTTTCTCTAAAGGTGGATAAATAGAAGAGAATGATAAATATTTGTTATGTTCACAGATATGTATTCAAGGAGAATGTGTAAAAAAACGACATTGGAAAACAGTGAACCCGGCCAATTTTTAATAGTGGTTATTAGTACAATTTCTCAGGTAATAAGATAAATTTGTTATTAATTCCGTTTAAAAATGACTTTATAATCAACTCGATAATAATTTTGTTGAATTTGTTAATATACATTACATGTCAGTGATTATTTATTTACGAGAAAAAGTTTTTATGTATGTTTGTATACATGCAATGGCAACGACTCACCGGTAACCTTGAGACGTAGTTTCAGGAATTAGGTATTGTTTCACATATAACTTTAGATTTACTGTTATTATTACATTAATGATTAATTATAATTATTATTACCACTTATATATATTAATAATCATTCAACACTACATAAATACACAGTAATGAGTATTTTTTTGAAGACTCATACAAATAGATCCGTTAACTTTTTGGCGCGCAAATACTGAACCAGAAAAATCTAGATTTCATGGCGTTTGCGCAAAAAATAGATGAGAATTAGTACAGGAATTTGAAGCCCTCTGAAATAGATAATTTACCATAAGCATTACCATCATTAGATAACCATATTATTGATTGTGCTACGTTTCTAACCTCAATTTTGTGGTATGACAGCGTGTCACATAAACAAACAGCAAATTAATTTCAATTATTCTTAAATATTTTTTCTGAGGTCAGAGTGATAATTAATAAAAAAGGTAATTTCATTTATCATAGATTATCCATATGTCATAAATTTATTATAAAACATGCAATAATATTTTTTTTTATTAACAGTTTTTTGATTGTTTTAACACTATAAAAATTGATCTTCTCTCATATTTGTCTATAAATTAATTACTCTAGTTGTTTGAGTTATTTTCATATTAAAATCATAAAAATGAATCTAAAATTTATGTTATAATAAAAAAGTATTTTATAAATTAATTACAATGGTAATTTATTATATCCATGCTTATAGCATCAACATACATATGATTAATTACTAATAAAAAATATCATATATTAGATTGCGTGTTATAATTTAATTGATCAAATTATTTATATTTGCAGATGATCACAGACGTCCAACTTGCTATTTTCTCCAACATTCTTGGAGTAACACTCTTCTTTTTGGTTTTCTTATTCCACTACATAAATGCAATATATTCAAAATAATTGAATAATGACTACTTTGTTACTTCAAATAATCAATTCAGTATCAAGCAATTAAAAACAGCAATTCTTACGTTTACAGCAAAATTATGTCTCTATTTGTTTCGTAAATTACCTGTAATAATGAATGTCTCATGAACTTTGAATGTCAACAATAAACCATTATTTACTTTTTTCTATCTTGATTTATTCTTTGATCTTTGTATACTAATTATTATGACTATTGAATAAAAAATAATAAATCAATTTAAAGATTATTTACATTCTTAAAAAACTTTAAAGTTTATTTGCAAAATAGTTTGACCAGGTTTAGAAATAAATACTAAATGTAATCTTCGAAAATCCTTATACATAAAAAGTTTTGAATTGTATACATGAACACGTGTAACAGAAATGTTCTAGTTGGTCATATCGCGTTCGACACTTGACGATTACGTTGATTCGTAGCATTCCAACTTCAAGCATTGTTATTTTTTAGATGTTTTCCCGCGTGAAATGAATACATTGATTCAGCTGTTAATATTTTTTATAATAAATACAAATAAATGAACTTACGAGTAAAAAATGAACTTAATATTCATTCTTGCTTTTAACTGTGAGGTCATTAGTACAGTGTTAAACTCCTCCACGTAATCAAAAATTTTTCACTTTATAGAAAAATTTCAGATAAAAAGTACCTGGGTGAATATTAGTGAGCCTACATATTTACAATGTCTTGTAGAATTCTTAACAAATAAATCATAAATGAAATTTTGTTGTGAAATTGCAAGTGTAGTTTCGAATGAAAATATCAAAATGCCAAGTTTAACATACAGTTAACTAGTGGTGAAAACATGTTATTAAAATAATAAAAAATACCAACATGTATTTTGTTATTTTGTTTTTAATAGTATTTGAATATGTAGTCCAAGGAATTTCAATCGATGAAGCTTTTCAAGAAGCTGGATGCCTTGTTCGATGTAAAGAAGTAAGGACCCATACAAGTTCATTTATTGCTTTATTAAAATCACTTGTTTAAATTTATAAATAATCTTAGAAACCTTTATTTGAATTATATTACTAGAAAAATTTTAAAAATCATTTATTTTAGTCCATTTTAGTATGTGACTTTCCTCAAATTGTTTTTTCGTCTTATCCACCTGTAATTATGTGTACGACACAGTATTTAATTATTATCAAGCACATGATTAGTTGACACAGTTGGCGGTTGTTAAATATATTCGTCGAAGGTAAAATTGTAACAACGATAAGTATAGCACCTTCGAGAGACTTTATGTATCTAAAAGTTAAATTTTATAAGTTTAAAGCATCGCATAGAATTTGTGTAGATTATCAAATTGATCGGTTAAAGAGCAATGAACCACATTTTAAAATATTGCATGAATAAAGTCAATCTGTTTGTGGCTAATCAAATGATAATTAATTATTTCTTTCGTATTTTTACTCAATTTTTAAAATACTTTATTCAGATTTTCAATAAAAACAACGCATTTTAATTCTAAATTATGTGTCTAGATTAATATCTAATGCATAATGTAACATCAATGTCAGGACATGCTATCTTTTATTTGTATTGAACAATGAATACAATACATACGATTCCTTTATCAGAATTACATTAGAGGTGTTGTCAATATTATACAAATGAAATATTGTATTGCGTAGGAATGGGTTAGATTTTCTTTTTTCATAGTAAATTATATCTATCAATCTGTGTTTATAGCCTGAAATCAGAAAACAATTTTTTTTTCAATTAAAAAAAAATGATGTTAGATGATAAAAATATACCTAGGGATTCCTCTATTTGTAATTATGTGTTTTAGATTTCGTGTCTAAATAATTGCCGTAATATCACACTTGTTCAAGGTAAATAAAACAATTTTAAGCTATCTGGACATTAAAGAAAATACTTTTTACATGATCAAATTATCTGACGTTTAAAGAAAAATTCTTCCAATATATAGAAAGGATCCCAGTAAGAGCCAATTTCAATGCTTCTCTACATTGCAGAGATGTAGATTTTCTAAGTATTTTACATAGCCCTGGTACTTTTGTAATCGAGCAGAATACAAGTGATGACAACATCTGGAGTAATCCTGTTGTGGTAAATAAATGATTGATTTATTTAAAATTATTCTTCAAAATATAGAACATTAACGTGTAACCAAAATTCAGTATGATGGGAGAATATCAATGTTTTTTGATCTACAACCCGGTACAAGATATCGATATCGTTCTCACAAAATTACAAAAGAAGGAATTTCGCTGCCGGAAATATCTGATTGGTTTCAGACAACTGCAAGTAATATATTAATATATTAATTATTCAGATCAATTTCATCTGCGATGATCCTCAATGTATTGACTTTACTTCAGATAACGTTCAACCAGAACCGATCAGCTATATTTTTGTCCAAAAAATTATACCTGATGGTAAAAATGATACTCACTTGAAAGCTGAAATTATTTTAGATCCAGCTAAAGGTATTCTATCATCATTTTGCAAGTAAATACTAGAAAATCAATTCTTCAAGATTATTTCTTGTTTCTATTTGAAATTGTTATAGATCGATCTTGCTTTTATGATATTCTTTCCTGGACCCAAGATGAAGGATTATCCATCAATCATTTCAATGCAGTGCGTTACAATATTTTTCATCAATAAATAAAATTATTCTTTAATGTTTTCATTTTTAATTGAAAAAATTGGGATTCTTTACAGAGTCATGATTTCAAATTTAATTTGCATGGACTTGATTATTCCAGAAATTATACACTAATAGTTTCTGCTAAAAATCGAGGAAGTCATAATAATAGTAAAAACGTTACACACAGCTTTATAACACCCAGTTGTTCAGATATGTTTAAAAATTTAACTATATGCCGTAAGAACTGAAATTAAATTTTTTATGATTATTAATAATAGTTAAATACAGATTAACTTTTATAATTAAAATTATTTCATAATTCTTAGCCCCTAATTTAGTAGAAAACTTTCAAATTATTGATATAACTGAATTGGGAGATAAATTCAATTTCATTGTTTCATGGAAAAAGCCAGATATCATTCCAGATAATTATACAATTCAAGTAATACCAGTTGATGAAACGGAGAAACCTGATATTACTACAGTTCCTGGTGTAAATATTGTCATACATAATCAATAAATTTCTTTTATTAATTAGAATAATTACTTTGAAATTAATTGTTACAGGAGTCAACAGAAGCACTATGCTCTGTTAATAAAAGTGAAACGCTTTATGTAATTAGTATTTACAGTGAATCAGCTGGTGGAACAAGTTTACCTGTTTCAATTTTTAGAACATTTACTAGAGAAAATACTTACCCATCAACAGGTACTTCATAATCTATATATTGACAATTTTCTATTTTTTATTCAATATTTTTCCTTGTTCGATTTCAAGGTCAAATTTAATAGTTGTAATTTTTTCCATGTTATTATAGTTTCTATTGAAATGATTATCATTCCATCAGTTGCGAGTATGATTATAATTGCAACTATATTTTATTTTTACTGTAAACATAATAAAAAACATAAAAACGATATTCATAATAAAGTACGTAAAAATAAAACTCAACTGAAATACCGTAACAACATAAAAGATTCTATAAATCTCAACCCAGTTTATGAAAAATTGCTTAAATCAACCCTCAACTTGGAAAATAAAATGGAAAATGAATCTTTCATAGCAAAAGATGTTTTTGAAATAAAACCAATGCAATTGATGATAAAAGATGTATTAGGTAGTGGTATATCCGGAGTTGTTCGACTTGGATTACTTCAAGTTGACCAAAATAAATCAATCGAAGTAGCTGTTAAAATGTTAAAAGGTGAAGTAAAACTTTTTTACAGAAAAAAATAAGATGAAATAAATATAACTTCATTTGTAAATAAATTAGATTGCCCAAGTGCTGAAGAAATAAGAAATTTCAAGCAAGAAATTTCAATAATGAAATCTGCTGGTATACATCCTAACATTGTTTCCTTAATTGGATGTTGTACATCTTGCCAAATTCCTATGTTGGTTGTAGAATACTGTAGCAAAGGTGATTTACAAAGTTATCTTAGGAATGTAAGTAATGATAAAATCAAGAAGTTTCTTTATACGCGTTATTTTATAATTAATCATCATTCCCATCAATATAGATATGGAAAGATATTATGAATGACATAAATGAAAATAATCATCTCAAATCTCTTCAAGTAGCTAGAGAAAATCCCACTTATCTAATTTCATCTACTTGTAAGTATTATATCTTACGACACTTGGAATCAACGATTCTTATTTATAAATTAGAAATAATAAAAGCTTCTTTTTAGGGAATAAAGATGCAGTATCTAATCGAATGTACGATATTCAAGAAGGTAAACATATCTTACATACTACAATACATCCATATTTTGAATATAAAACATGTCTTATCTCTTACGTATATCCATCCATTTCGAATTCATTTTATTAGTTTTTTATATCTATTGGATAACCATGACCATGAACATATGTTTTAGAATATTCAAAAAAAACCGAAAAAATAACAGCGAAAGAATTATTAACATTTGCTTGGCAGGTTGCTAATGGCATGGTAAATATCATATTGATGAAAATTTGACTCAAGATAAAGAAACTTTAATAGTCATTTATTAATTTTTAACAATTTTTTAGGAATTTTTGTCGCTTAATCGAATAGTTCACCGTGACTTGGCTGCAAGAAATGTATTAGTTTGTGCAGATTTAACGGTCAAAATTTCAGATTTTGGACTAAGCAGAGATGTTTATAGAGAAAGTGTATATAAGAAAAAAGGGAATGGCAAGCTACCAGTAAAATGGATGGCTATTGAAGCATTAACTCATCAATTGTATACTTCTCAAAGTGATGTGTTCGTATTAAACAATCCAATAATTAGAAAGAAAAAAGAAATTTTACTCATATTTAATTATTAACACTCCTGTATGATTATCATAGATGGTCTTTTGGAATTCTTCTGTGGGAAATAGTAACTCTTGGATGCAACCCTTATCCAGAAATTCCTACAAATATGATTCTTCATTATCTAAAATCTGGAAAACGTATGGTAAAACCATCCAACTGTGGTAGTCAACTGTAAGTTCATTTTTATGAATAATAATTATAATATTTATCATATACATTTTAATTTTAATTTTAGATATGAATTAATGAATGCATGTTGGCGAACTTCACCAAAAAGCAGACCAACATTCACTGAACTTAAACATGCCATTGGTAGGCTTCTAGAGAGTGTAACACAACATGAGTATATAAACCTTCAGAATGAAGCGTTTCAGGTGCCAAATGTGAGAGAAATAGTCGAATAACAACAAATGTATCTTGAAATTAATATCAGTTTAATCCCAATATCGTGATATAGTTTTCAAGTATCAAATAATTTGTACATAATTCTGCAATACTTTCATTATCCTGTGCAAAATTGTTTATTGTTCTATACATACATATGGATCTGTGGTATAATAATTATATATATATATATTTATATATATTATATATACATAATCTGAATTTAATTCTTAAAAAATTCAAATAGTGATAACGTGAAAATAATGATCAAGTTTTTTCGCGTCGTTCATCATTCATTAATGATTGAAGATGACGGTACAAATAGCACAATATGTTTTTAACAATCTTAAAATCAATATTTTTTATAATAAATCCCTTGCATTCTGTTTATTATTCATTTTAAATTTATTATTCTCTTTTTTGTTTTTGGTGTTTTATTAAACATTTTGTCAATGTCTTCAACATGATAAGTCATTTGTGTTGTGTAAGCTATAAAATATCGTAAAGCAGCCATTGCATATATGTTGATTCACAAAAACATAAAAATTATTGTAATATAAAGGCACATCTATTACTTGTAATCATTGTCAATATTTAAAGAAAAAATGTTTTAACATAAAATTAGCTTTTATGATGAAATAAAAATCGATCATTATTTATTTAATCTTCAACAAAAGAAAAAAATGTCGCTCTTTCTTATTTATATTATTCTGTACAAATAACAGATTCTGTTATATACTCTGATATTAACGACGTAAAAATATTGTTTTTCGAACATAATTTGAAATAAATTTTATCAGAGATTATGTTTTTTTTTGGCAGTAGGCCTCAATGCATACATAGCCTAAATATTTTTTCATGACTTTTCTTATAGAGTATTATATTTACATTATTTACTAAATAAAATGTACTTTTTAGTTTTTAATTTAGTCATTTTTAAATAAATGACATGGCTGCATAAGATATATTTTTTTATCATAGTAAAAGACATGATAAATAATAATTACCCTGATTCATAAAAAAAAATCAAATAATATCGAGTATTATTTTCAAATTAAAATTATCAAATTGATTTCCATGATATATATTTTATGAAATGAGAATTTAATAAATTTTGATTTAGTTACAAGTACAAAGTTCTCTTTTATTACTGAAAAACCTAATTAAATCTTCGAAAAAAAAATTAATTCGAAAAAAAGTTGCTCCTTTAAATAGGAAGTTTTCCAACAGAATAAAAATTATTGCTAAGTACAGAGATATTTAGAATAGTTCAGAAAATAATAAAAACATCACTTCTTCAATGCAGTTGTAAAGATATTTTTCTACTGATAAAAAACTAATATTCTTAAAAAATTCGTTCATTCTGAGAGTGTGGATATCTTTCAAAATCAATTCGTTAATTGTTTGATCAAAAAAGATGATGATAGTTACATTTAATTCTCTCTAACAAAAGAGAATCTTCGATAAAATAATAATAAAAATCACAGACGAACCTCTTTTACTTAACTGAAGACGAAGATGAAAGTTCTTGAGCATGTTATTGATGCTATCGTATTCTATTTTGTAAACACATTTTCTCTGACTATCATATGTGATCATGTCTGTTACCGATTCTATCTTCCTTGTGAACTGGTGGTGGTGCACTAGGAATAGGTGCGCTCGGTCCAGCTGTTAAATATCCAGCAGATACTGGCATTCCTGTATAATTGATGAATATTTTAATAGATATTCCCGTCAAAAACAAAAGGTCACATACCGATTAAGTAAGGATATAGTACCTGTGAGATAGCCCATGGTTGGAGTATTAGAAATGAATAAATCATGCTTTTGGTCTTTGTACTCAGCCCACACAGGTGATTTTTCCAAAATAGAACTGACTTTTTCTCCCAAAAGAATACTTCGAGTCATTGCTTTTAGTGCTTTCACAATTTGAGCTTTTGTTGTAGCTGGATTATCAATTAAGTCAAGCCGACCTTCTAATATGTTCAAAAGATATGGTACCATCTCTGCTTCAAGGGCCTAAGAACATAAATAAAATTATTTGTTTATGATTTATAATAAATTGAATACTTAATGTTTTGCTACTAGAAATTACCTGCTTAATGAGTCGATCTTCATTTGTTGAGAAAAGTCGATTTAATGTCTCACATGCAACAGCAATCATATCTCTTCTTGACTGCATAGCGAGTTTTAATGGGCTGATACAATCTGTTTGACAAATCGAGTTAATACAAATTTCGCTTGTGGCTAGTTGATGAAGAATAAGTATTGCCGCTTTGTACATAGAGGGCTGGCTATTTCTTATAGCCATTTGTCTGCAGAGCCTTGGAATGTGTCCAAGAGAAGGTACTTGATCTGCTAGCGCTGGTTGAGCTTGAAGTAAACACACTAAAGCCTGTGTTGTTAGTTCTAACATATCAGTGTCCATATTTTCTCGAGACATAAGTGACAAAGTAGTGTCCATTAAGTCGTTTAAAAATTCCTTAGGCTTTCGAAGAGCCCATGCAGGACTTGCTATGAATAACCTTAAATAAACTCCTCCAACAACTGGTTCATTTGTTGCGGTTTCAAAATTATTTTGAGTCTCAGGTAATTTTAGTACTGCATTAGGATTTCTTCTTTGAAGAGAATAATATTCATCTTTTAATTCTGATACTATCCTTGACACACGATTTTTTGCTTCATCATCCCAAACTAATTCTGGATTTTCGTGTTTTGTCTCAAACATATGAACACATTGCTTAGGAGCATCGCGAATTGCTTCTCCAAACAATTTTGGAAGAAACTTTGATAAATCTAGTTTTACTTTCGGTCCTGCTAATTTATCAGCTGACATTTTGGCTAAAAGTTCAGCGGCAGTTTCACGAATTTGAACATTAGGAGAGTTACAAAATAAATCAAGAACATAAACAACAGCTCCTTTTGCTAAAGCATCTTTTACGATTTTTGTCGTGCTCATAAGTGCATATAAGGTTTCTAAACATAATAATTGGCATTCTTTTACAGTATTTAAAGTTAGTAATAAATGAACTACAACCTCATTAGCAGCAATATCATTAACACATTCATGATTTTTCGTTACATTATTTATCACTTCTAAAGCTCCTTTTTGAATAGGCTTGAAATTATTGCAACTCAATAAATTAAATAGCAAATTGAAATGGCCGATGCATTGAATTTCTATTCCAGGATTATTTTGAATTACATTTTTTAATGCCTCTAATGCCATGACAATTGTTTTTAATCTTTCTTGATCTTTTTTAGATAATGTTAAGCTATTTAATGATGATAAATATTTTGATGATTTCAATAAAAAGTTAAGTAAATCAATGGTAAAACTTTTAGGATTTTCAATTGGAAACGTTGGTTGTTCATTATAAACTTTAACGAAAATTTCACCAATAATTAATTCATTACTATGAGCACTGTATTTAAAATCACTGAAGTCATGCTCTAAAGTTCCATTGCCACAAAGTTTTTCTTGACGTTTAGTTTCCAAATACTCATTCAACTCAGCTCGTGTTCCATTATCCCAAATAAGATAAGGATTCGAACAATTTGAGTTTAAAGTTTTCAAAATTTCTTCTGGTTTATCTTTAGCAAGTTGTCGAGCTAAATAAGGCGTCAGTAAGGTCTCTAAAGCAGCAACAGTAACTGGATTAACTGGTGTCTCATTATCTCCAGTCATATAACCACCAAGTCTTGCACAAGCTTTCACTGCAAGCTTCGCTAAATTATTAGCTACTTCTTGACGGTTTTCGTCTTGATTCCGTTCTACTCCACCTTCTTCCAACGTATAATCGTAATTAAACATAAACAGAAGTAAATGCCAAAGTGCTCCTGACTGCAAAAGTTGCATTTGAAGCACCGAGTCTGTCGCAAGAGAAGAAGCACATTCTGTTGCCACAGAGCAAAGTTTCGTCAAGTGTTTAAAGTGTAAAATTCGACACAGATCCTTAATGAGTTGGGGAAGTTCAACAATTTTATCTCTACAGCCTCTAAATCTGCCAGCCACGGCAAAGCATTTTGTAATATGAGTACAAACTTGAACTGCAACATCATCAGGTTTGCTTGAATTATTCAAAACAGATACACATCGACTGTAAGCTTCTAGTAATACATCTAGACCTCCTTCCCTACGTAATTCTTCAGCATTCAATGCAGAGCAATGAACTGTATGATAAGCAAGTTCACTCGCTGCTGCCAATAGTGGCGCAGACTTAGAAAATAATCTTTCATCTTCAGTTTCTAGTTTTATTGTTTTTATGAGTTGTGGATACCCGGCATATTTGTATGGTTTTAATTCATCAGAATATCTATGGAACAAAATACTTTGTGTACGAAGAATCAATACTATATTATCAGGATTTGGTCCATCAGTCGTCCAACAACTTCTACTACACAGAAATTCGTAAGCTTGGTTTACTGCTTCGAATTTATCTCTACCTTCGGGGTTCTTATCAGGATGGAATTTTTGTGCTAATTTATAGTAGGACTTTCTCACATCTGCTTCATTGTGTTGTCTTCCACTCTGAAGACCTAAGACTTTGTAAGCTTCATCAACAGTCATTATCGGCGGCTTCTTCTCCACCTCTTTCTTCCAAGCATCTAAAACATCTTTCAATAAATGCACTGGATCTGGTATAGGCCAGTTAGGAAATTTAACGGTATCACAAAGATGGCGGAGATAAAATATCTGGCAGAAGAGTTCTTTGTCCAACTGTGGATACCTCACAGCTGGAATGGCAATATACTGATATCTTGCCATCGTATGGCTTCTCAGTCGTGGAGAAAAATCAGCGATGTGTGCCGCTACTTTTTCAATGAGAGTTCTTCTCATTTCCGCGTTCCAAATCGCTTCAGGAGTATCGAAATCACCCAAGAAAATCTGTGCGAATTTTTCTGCTCCATGATTCTCTAGATAACTCACCATGGCATCAGGTAGAAGCTGGCCTAAAATACTTCTTTGCATGATATCTGATGGAGTATTATCGTCTCCACGAAATGCCTGCTTCGTATGTGTCAACTGCAAAAATCTGGCGATAGGTAAAACATTGGAACCGGTATACATAAGTATAAAGTAAAAGACACCCGTTAGATAGATCTTTGATACTTCAGAATTGTCCTTCATAATTTCACATAAAAGGGTTGCGACTCTTTCAACTAAAACAGGATCGAACGTAAGGAGAAGTTGAACAACATGCGGCAAACACTGAAGATCTGATAAAAGCCTTTTTACTCTTGGAAGCGGTCTAACTACAGCATTATCAGCGTCTCTACTTGGAAAATATTCACACATTTGTATTAAAATATTTAGAATAAGAGTTGCTAGTTCACTTTCATTAAGAACTGGAGTTCCTTTGGCAACTAGAGTCCATTTCAACTGTGGAACTTGAGAAATCATTCGCCAGCCATCCAATCCTTGAGCCCAAACTTTGGTTTTATGATTTATTTTATTTGAAGAATATAAATCTTTCAACTCGTTTAAACTTATCGGTCCTATTCGACGCTCTCCATCATTGTAGTACCATTCTTTTTCTAAAACCCGTTCTTGCTCTGGCCCTGCTTCTATCACATTTGTTTGCGTTGGAACCACAGCACGAGATATGTGTAAATGTGCTAAAGTTAATAAATCAACTAAAGCACGAACTCCATTTTGATCCATTATGTCTTTGACATTTTTTCTGTGTAAGATTAATTTGTGAATAAACATCACTAATCGATCACGTTCTGTCCGATCTGTACATCGTTCCAGCATTCCTACTATGTACTTTGTGTCAGAAAATGGGCCGATGTCTTCGAAGTACCGACCGTAAACAATAGTCATAGCTTGTAAGCAAAGGCACTTCATGTCTACTTTAGTAGTTAAGAGAAATCTATGATATAAATCATTAAAAAATTCATACCTAAAATAAATAAAGCAATGTTTAGATTGTTTTATTAACTTAAATAATGTTTTTTTTTCAATCAATACTCTAGTACTTACGATTTTCTAATAGGACTATCAGGTGAATCTTTTTCAAGCAATAATCTCAAATAATAATCTCCAATTTTAACCTCATCTGATAAGCATACATACTGTACTTCAAACTCACGATGATTCCAGGCAATCAAAGTTCCTCCAGATAAATCCTTATCAGCAGAAAATGCACGAATCTCATTTTCAAGAGCAGTACGAAGCTCTTCTCTTGTCTTATGATTCCAAATAAGATTAGGCAATGCATGATCTTGATTGAATTTATAGTAAAATAATTTCCAATTAGCTTCAGACTTTATTCTTTCTCTTCTTTTACGTAAAACTATTGGTCTTTCTTTGATTTTTTCTCTTCTTTCAATTCCAATACGTGCACCCCAATGCTGTAAAGAATTCTCAACATGCTTTTCTATTAAACGCATATAACGTTCCATTGCCACCCATTGAGCTCCTGGTTTATTCTTTGATGCATGATAAATTGCTATTTTTAAATTATCTCGATTATATAATCTCTCTTCTTCCAAAAATGAATCTGGTATTTTTTCCTGAGAGTCAAGGTACGTCAACAAACCACTGGGCTGTAAAAATAATTTTAATTGCATATTGATACTTTTTATTCTAATTTTCTTTCGGAATGAAAATAAATAAAACTCACTAAAATTCTTTTTAATAAACCCATAGCTGTGGGATGACCGGTAACCCAAAGTCCAACAAGATGCCTGCATAATTGTCTATGAGTTAACAGTCTCCCATCACTGCCAGCAGTAAACAAACTGTTCAATAAATGCCGTGGTAAAGCTCCCTCAGCCAAAGCAAGTTCTTGCATTTTAGCAGCAACCTCTGGAGCACCTTCTTCAATAATTGCTCTCATAATTAAACCTGCGCCTTTAACAATAGCTAACGAGGGGTGTTGGAAAAGTTTAAACAACGATCTGCCTCTAGCAGCCACCATCTCAAGCAGATTATCAAAATGTTTGCCGTCGGTTGTTTCACTATAAGGAACGCACAATGCAAATGTTAATAAATCTAACATGGCAGACACTACCAGCGCGCCTGTTCCATGGTTCTGAAACATTAAAATAGTTTTTTAAATTACTAATATTTATATTTTGAATAAAATATATTAAATTCTTACCACATGATTAATCCACATATCTAGAAGACTCTCCAGAAACTTATTACTACTAAGCAGGCTACTTTTATTTAGCTGTTCCTGCCGTAAATCACAGTCATCATGCATTGCCTGCATGAGAGCACAAATGCAATCAATTGCAGCCTGAGTAACTCCACAATCCTGTCGTTTCAAAGCTTTAACAACTTTATTCCCAATTGCCTCCCGAAAACCAGGTAGTGTCGTGAAAGCCATGAATCCAACTTTACTAGCAACTAATCTTCGTAATGCATGAAACTGTGCTTCTACTTCCATATTTGTTTCCAACTCACGGTTCACTAATGAACTTAGGGCGCCCAGAATTATTTTATCTTTGTTTTCCGTGAATAATCCCTGCAAGTAGTTATTCATCACTCGATGCATTTCAAGCTGTAATGTCGTTACAGTCCATTCAAGCGGTTCTATACCCTAGGCAAAAATGATCTTTCTTATACAGTTGATATACTTGGAAAGAGACTCTGATTAAAAATAAATTAAATATATAAAATTGTTTTATTTTTAATCAGCAAATACAAGCAAAAGGCTTTAGAAGAAAATGGAAGCTTTTAAAAAAGTTTATGAATAAACAAATATAAAAATTTTCAGAAAAGATTGAATTTAGTTTGTATCGCATAAAAATAAATCTTTCTTTTCGTATATCAATTGCGTATTCCAAATCATTATATTTGAAAAATTTTCAGCAATCTTATTGTTAGTCACTATTGAAAGTTAAAACCAGCTTCAACACTACGTTTTAAAAAAAGTAAAGAAAATAGTAAGCTATAAAATTCGCCGCTTCGATGAACTGTATGCTTTACAAACTTAATATATAAAATAAAAATTTCTTACATCCTGAGTAACAGAATAATGAAGACCACTGTAAGGAATGTTAGCATTGAATCTTTCGAGAATTTCGGCAAAAAACCGATTGCCAGGTGGTTGTTGTAAGAATTTCACATGTGAAATTTCAACTTCTTCATCGACCGGAAGATTTAATGGTCCAAGTCTTTTACCTCTTGCTATAGGAGTCATTTTTACGTGAACATCCCTGTTACCTGATGCTCTTACTCCATCTAGTAATGATGCCAGCAGGGAATCTCTATCTGTTGCCATGTAACTACGCATCTGTCCATTAAGATATTGGATTGTAAATAATTGAGGATTTGTATTATCTCGGACCAAAGCAAAAATATCTGATAACGGCCTAAGAGTACAAATGTTATAAGTCTGTGGATCTCTCTCAAGAAGACAAGTATCCGAGAGGCATAGAGTTCTCCTCTGTGGATCGGAATGTCTGGACGAAATTTTATGTACAGTAAATTCAGAAACACTTGTGATATGCTCATCACTACTAAACCTTCCCAATCGTTGCATCATAAATTCATCCATGGGAATTTTTTCTTTGAGCACCGTAATATTAATTCCAAGATTGGCTTGAGCTAGATCTACGATTTTTCTTTTGATTTCTTCCATGTGTTGCGAAGCGAATAGATGTAAACGGCCGAACCCACTGCTTACTATAACAAATCCACCTTGATAATCTTTCATAGTTCCTAATCCATCAATATCTTTGTAATAATAACTTGCTAAAAGCATATTTGTTGCAGGATCTAATTGGTCCAAGCTGTAAGGAGTCACTTCTAATACTACCGGCAATCTTGTATCTGACCAATGATGTTTATAAGCTTGATACCTCTGTCAGAAAAAAAAAATTTACATGAATACTAGCACTTGGTATTTTTTTTGTTATTAATAACTTATCAATAATTTTCGCTGATTCTTCGAAATTAGATTCAATTGTTTGAAAAAGCTTTGAAGTATAGAAAGATTATTGTATAGGAAACGACACTATATGTTGTTTTATGTATGTGATACAAATAATATCATCAGTGTAATGAATTACTGTGGATAATGAAATGCATTGTAGTGTTATTAATGTTGATTTGACTCCAGATAATACGTTAAAAGCCATGTGTTTTAAACATACTACGTGTCACAATGTCTTTTCAACGAAAACTATGACTCACCAATATCTCTTTCGGCTTTTCAGCAAATTGATTCCTATATTTGAGTGCTTCAGTCAACAAGTGGGATCTATGCTCCGAGCTAAATTTCATTGTATCTATTTTTCTGTCTTTCTTCATTGTTATACTAAACTCATAAAGCCCAAGTTGATTTTTATTTGTCGGTTGTACACTGATAAAATCTGCATACTCCCATTTGTTTGTTACTTCTAAATTACTCGGATTGTATGTCGTTATCCCCATTGATCCAATAGAAAAAATACGTTTATATCTGGAAGAAGTTTTTAATTATTTTTATGATAGAAAAAATTTTATATAATAGAAATTATAACAATTTAATAACACTTCCAAGGTTGTAATAATAATAATTCAAGAACAAAGATGAATAGGCAAAGTAGACAAAATAATAAACTTACTTTCCTTTCCACGAATGTTTCGTGACCAAGAAACAAGCCACATCTTGATTATCCTTGATCGGCATCATTGTCTCATGTCCCTGTTACTAAAAATTAAATTATTCCTCCAAACTACTTTCAAAATACTCAAAACAATTTGCATCTGTCAAATTATGGTGATGGAGAAAACAGATCATCGATAATCTAACCTCTAAGCACAATAATTTTTCGATCACTTGAACGTAATAACTATGATAGTTTAATGGCTTATAATTTAGTTCGACTATCGAGTACTTTAAAATCAATTTACTTTTTATATCACTTTAATTCACCGCGTAAATATCATCATGAACGGCTTCAATTTAATGGGAGCGGCCATGATGCTGGGGGTGTCTCAGTCAGCTGTTTCCCAGATGTCACCAGTTTAGAAGCGAGTCATTTGAACTACTGTTGATAAATAAATGCATTTATCAAGTAAAATTCATTTTTGAAAATCAACATTAACCGCCAAATAATTTATCACTGCAATTAATCCATTAAATTGGCTTAAAGTCAAGAAGGATTATTTTATTTTGCACGAGTTACTGCAATTATTAACGAATAACGATTCGGAATAATTCGCAAATGGTCGGAAATACTCGGAGAATTTTTTTCTCCCACTATTTAGGCTCCAGAGCAACCGCAACGTAGTCTTGCTTCCCGGTTGTGTGTAGCAAAATGGCTGCCAAACTATAATGAGTGTGACGTTCTCCGATGTGTTATGTTTGTGTCGTCCTTCAGTGACATTTTTGTGCAAATAAATTATTGTGATAATAAGTGACAGTGTTTTTTTTTATCTCGGACAATATTTTTTAGTAACATTCATCTACTTTTTACGCACAAGTAAGTAAAGATTCAGCTCACGTAGCTCAACTATTTGATTCTTTACGGTACCTACCTTACGAAAATTCCTATCGCGTCACGAATTTTACCTATTTCAATCATTTTTTTGATTGTCTAATGCATGCTAATCAGTTCTTCAATATATCCTAAAAAATTATTAGCTGATAAATTGTTTAAATGGTTGACGAACATTCAACTTTTTGCAAGTTATTTTTATCTCGCTACTGTCTACCTATACCTTCCTCGCGAATCCTTTTATTTTTTGTCCAAAGGTAGGCGTTAATCGAGTGATACGTTGAAGCAATGTCCTCGTGCGTCGCATGTGAGATTAGAGCGGATTCTTTCGTGTGTTATTCAGAGCATGATGAACGTTAGACACATTTTTGATTCTTGTCAATTTCTGGCACGATAATAGATGAGATATTTTCATAAAAACTTCATTATCATTTCTTCTTAAATTCGCTTATCTTTCGATTTCACTCTCAAATTATTTCACATCAAAGATCTGCTTGAATCAATTATTCTGCATGCGCGTCTCATCGATAATCTTTCCTCTTTTTCCTTAATTTTATTTGACTCTAGTGACTCTCAAGATATTTTTAATAACAAAATAAATACAGTTGTTTACATCTCCCAACGTATTTACTTCCAATAACATGAGATTAAATTAGCAACGATTAAATATTGCCAAATAATTCTTTGAAAATTCTTGAATAGTTCTAACTACTTGGATACCATGTATCTTTTTGCAAGTAATTTTTAAAAAATTGTTAAGAAATTATTTAATTCGTAAGTAATTAAAATTAATAGCTCCACCTTTTTGGTAATCTTGGCAAGAAGAGAAATCCTTGAATCGTAATAGTGCAGAGTTAATCGTATATAATTGCTAACCAGAAACCTCGAGTACTTTTTGTTTGTTACATTTTTAATATTAAAGAACAAATGTCTTATTTTATGTGAGATTTAATGATATATACTACTGTGATAAACTTTTAATACTATTGCATGTAATCTGATTCGCTTATTCAAACTTTATTTTGATTACCTTTCATTGTGTACTATTATTTCATCAGAGTAGATCATTATGCCATATTATATCACTCGATTCTCACTTACGAGTTATTACTATATAATCAATGTCATTTTATCGTTAATATCGAATATATTGAGTGACTCATATCAGTTAAAAATTTGTTTGTAGTGTTGAAAAAATTTTTTTTTGCAATATATTTACGTAGTGTATGCATAACAGTTACATAAACTTAATCATAAAGTCATTCAAATAAAGTCACATTAAAACATGATAAAGTTAATCAGTTGACAGTTCTTTCTAATTAATTAATAGAGTAAAAATATAACTATTCGAATGGAAAATGAGTTTGATAGATTGGCCTATCAGAAAAGTCCATTTGATAGTAGAGAAATAACTCTCACTCGACAAAAACATTTAGCTGCTCTATAGAATGTAGATGAACTCATTCATAAACTTACACAGGTAAACGACTGTAGTGACCAGTAGGTAGAGTAGTAACAACTTTACTACACTGTATGCAGTTAATGTAGTAATGAAGCTGGTAGTAAATTGAAAACAATAAAATGATAAAGTAAAAGGAAAAGGTAGAAAGGAAAAAAGGAAAAGAGGCCTTGAGTTGGATATAATTTTTAGTAGATCTTGATATATGTAATGTCTGTGTATGGAGTTTGAATTTTATCCAGAAAATAGATCATTCGTGTGTGAATGAATAGTGTTGTAGAATAGCAAACTTGACTGAAATATATATTATTGAATCATTCAAATTTCAGGGATAAACCCTGAATCTCCAAAATTAGATCATCGATCTTTGGTCTCTTGGGTTGCGTGCGAATTCCGGCAATTAGTGATTCTCTAATTACATGACTAATGGACACGTCGGTCGACTTAGTTGGCAGTTAAGCTACTTAATTATGCTCAGTAACAACTAAGGGTCCTCTTTACGTTACTCTGGTAGACAACAGGAAGACAGGAAGCGTCAACAACAACGCCTAAGACTTCCGGAACAAGACTATACTCTCACGCGTTAATTTACATAACTATTTCTCAAAAATCATATTGAATCAAGTTAGTTCCCATCCTTTTACTTTATTTTTACGACTTTCTACAACAATGGTTAAGTAAAAAATTTTTCTTTTTTCAGGGGACAAACACGTGGTGAAGATGGCTTCTGAATCAAGAATTTAGGTAAAGTACCTCTATTATAAACAATAAAATCGATTACATCATCAAGAATTTCATCTTGAAATGCATCTCAATCGGAAATCATTAAAAGTCGTCGATGAAATATGAAAAAGTATTAAAAAGAGGCTTCATTGTGATGTTTAGCTTGTGGATACTCTTTTAAATAGAGTACCATCAAGTCCCCATTTCCTACGCCTTCTTTCATGCCCGGCAGCTACAGAAGCGGCATTCTGAGACTCGTTGACATGAAAAGAAATCAAACGTCAACTGAAGGACATATACTCACGGATATACATGTGAATTTAAGTCGGTTTTCTTTTTATTACCTCTGATCTATTGCGTGCAGTCATTCTGAGTTAACATCAGTATTTTTTGAAACATCATCATTTCCGGAAAAGTTTATGTTTTCCTCACTTACTGTAAAACAGGTAGTAGACACTTGTAATTGACAAGCAAAAAATGTCAATTAACGGTATTTAATGACGGTCACCATTACTCGAAGATTACTTTGATTATGTATTAAGTATTAGAATCATATAAATTATGGTGTTCAGAATATACAGAGTATTTAAATATATAATCATTTAATTAGGTTTATAATTATTAAATTTAGATCATTTTTTCAACAATGAAAAAATGTAATTTTTTGTTGAGCTAAAATTACTAAGAGAGTTATTGTAAATCATTTATAATTAATTTTTAATTGAACATTATTCGAAAAAAGAGCAGAAAGTTAATTAACTTATTAATGAATTTATTCATAACATGATAATACCTAAAGATAAATTAAAAATTAATTAATTACCTTATTATGTAAGTGTTCGGTTCAAGGTTTAATTAAAAATTTGTAAATACATTTGAATGTAAAATTCTTCAAATGATTATTTTTTATTAATTTTTTATAAATATTTTTCATTAAGTTAATCAAAATTAAGTTATTTTTCGATATGAATGACAAAATTATTTTGATAAATATTAATTTGTTAAACTAACAAGCAATTATGAATTATAAGTCACTGTTATAAGCACAACCAAGTATTACCAGGAGAAAAAATGTATCGAGAATGTGAAAATGATAGGTTGTTGGTAGCACATGAACTTATGATTCGTTACAGTGCATTTAGCAGGTATCAGTCTATTCACCGCCTCCACGATCATACACCAGAACGATGGTGAGACTGTTATGCCCGCTTACACACATAACAGAATACTCATGACACATTGATTGCTACGTTTCCCGTATGCCGTCGCTTTAGTTAAACGTTTTCTTCTTTTTTTTTAGAACAAAATGTTACAAACATGTCTTCTATTCAAGTAGTCATTGTTAACATATTGATTATCAAGACTTGATGCAACTGAAACTCTTTACTATGATGATTGATATGTTTGCTAGCATGTTATGTATTATTAGATAGCCTTCACTGGTCGTTGAATTCTTTAACAACGTTATGGTGGTCGGCAAGAAGTAATTTACAATTTCGATCCACCGGAAATTTCCTCGAATAGGATAACATATAATACTTAACAGTTAATTAGTTGCACTGAACTTCCTGTGGTAATATCATGCCGTGATGTAGTCTTCATTATTTCTATATCATGGAGAAATTTTAACTGGATTTTTATTCAAGTTTTCCAGCTAACTTACATAGTTATTGTGAAAAAGAATTCGTGAAATATGAAAGTTTACTTTCAAAATTTTATAATGAAAAATGCGTTTTAATTTTTTATCAACTTTTTTTATTGTTATACTGCTGGAAAATAATACAATTAGCTGGGCAAAATTACCAGTAGTCATAACTATTACTTAAATGGTTACATCATTATTCCTATCACAGGAAAAATTTTCTCTATCTTTTCAACGTAAATTAATTATCGAAATAAATTGCCAGTTGTTGGTAAAGATTTAGAGGATTGTGTTTGCGCATTTTAATATAATTTCTCCACTCTTTCGCCGTTATTAGAAAAAAATTTACTGATGATAATCTAAAAACTTCTATACTCCATCCATGTTTTTATGTAAAAAGCATGTTCAAAGCATACTTTCACTCCTATTATTTGAAGTTTGCAAAAAAAGAATATTCTTTCTAAAAGGCTCGTCTTGAAAGTGCATGCGAGCAGTAGAAGTAGCAAAAAAAGTTAGTGCTCTTATCCGTAGCGCCAGATGGAAAACGTTGGGTCATGGTACAGTAAGGTGTACTGTTAACGCAACACATTTTTAACTTCCCGGTATGAAGGGAAGTCGTTGTAATGGGTCAAAAAATGGAAATGAGCATTTTTTAAATATCTTCATATTTGGAGGTTCGAAAAGTTATTCCATCAATCTGTGGATATATTCCATTGATATATGTGGAGGGTATGAATCAAATTGTACCCTATATGCCGTCTACCTTACACATTTTCTTCAATTTTATACTGAGAAGTTTTAATATTTGGCTTGGAATTTTACATAGAACTAAATATTATGTATATTGTAACCAGAAAATCTCATGATTTTCCTATGATGTTTAATGTTATCATCTGACCTCGGGTATTCAACATTAGGCGTAACAGGCTTCCTACATATAATACCTTCGTCATTTATGTTTAACATGTTAATGTGATGAATAACAAGAAAATCTGTCAATTATACTCTACCTCCCGTGAATGCGTAGGAAAAGAATTCAACGTATTTATCAGTATCTCAAAAATATTTTTTATTTTTTTACGGATTATTTATAAAACTACTGTTAAATATTAAAATATCAAATATCCTTTGATAAAAATGCTTGGTTTTTAAATAATAATCGTGAGATTCTCCTTAATCATCTCACAAAAAAGATGATTGTAAAAAAATCATGATTCATACCACTACGCAATTGAATCGCAAGGTCATCATTTAATAACTTTAACAGGTGAATACCACAAATAATTGCATTTAACAGCGTGGCTAGAATTATTTAGATTATCTTCAGAACAGTTTTATTTTCTTCATTTTTACTTTGTATTGTAAATCACTCAGTCTGTTACGATCTTTTGCTAGATGGAAGTAGAAAGGAAATTCGTGGGATTATTACAGCATGACGAAGAAAAAATATTCATAAATAAAAGGAAAAAAAAATTCATGTGAATGATCTCAATTGAATTGAAAAATAGATTAAATTTTGATTGAATTAACTTCAGCCTATGAGTAGTTTTCTTCGGATTTTAACTGCTGAATGGTGGCCCTGAATCCGACCTTGAAAGTTAGATGATGTCACACGAACAATGTTCATAATATGCCATGAAACTTGGTCATAAATATGCATTCGTAAGTTCTCAAAGTGCTCTTCAATGCAGACATTAGACTTTGACGTGCATTTTCTCAACAGTGTTGGTTTACAGGCATTAATTGGAATTTGCAAAGTCCTCTGCTCTTTATTAAATTATTCACATCATCAAGATAGTTTCTTTAAAAGTTATTCGTTATCTTCGATTTTACAGCTTCTTATATACTAATTTAGAGCTATTGAAAATTTATTTAATTAAAAAAAAGATTTCCGAACAATTACAGTTTATTTTTATGAAAAAAAAAAAATTTTCCAAGATAGCAATAGATTGAGTTTATGAAGAATTGTCGTTTATTCTATCAATTGAGATGAACAATTTTTAAGCTATTAGTCTTTCTTTATCTCTAATCTGATAATTGTCACTAATTTTCTTTATTTAAAGTTTAGTCGATTGTGAATCACATTCAAACATTGTCGACTAAATTTTTTCATTCCATACGTCTACACGTTGAAACAATAGGTACTTGAATAAGCCACTTCTTGTATTGCTCGATGAGAAATAGCAGTTCTATCCGTCGCCATACGTGGTTTTGCTTATGCTACGCTCACTTAAAATATTACTTACTCACTTTCGTATTCATAAGCGTCTTATTAAATACATGAAAGAAGCATCAGCCACCCACGCGTCTACTGGCTTTCGTAACGAATACATATATTTATATGTTTTTCTTTAGAAAAAATTTTATTTACAAATTGTTTCGAAGTAATATAAATTCCTTTACCTAACTTTTTTTTCACTAATATGTTTCTATTCGTAAAATAACGGTGTATTTAAATAATTATGTGAGAATTTTCTGTCGTTACTCAATTCATTTCTTTATTTCAGGTTTACGTTGTGAACTATCTAATCGGCAGCTGCAGTAATGCCAACGTATCACAATGCGGGTGCTGGTTACCCAAACGTATCTGCTCCAGCTCGCCAGACTAAAGTTGATGGCAATCAAAATCATCATACAATTCCATCGAATGTAACAGCACAATCTCTCTTCCAAAACGCTCTTCAATCCATGCAAACGATTCAATCAATTCACTCTATTTCATCAATTCCTTCAAACTTAACTGGATCCAATATGCTGCCACATCCAGTATCACCGATTATGACGACTCATTCGAGCGTTACAACCCAAAATGCACCAACTCACATGAGTCCTGTGTCTTCACCAGTCATTCTCACTCCAAATATCACTAATCCGAGTAATACCGCCTTAGTAAATACCAGACATGAAGTGAAACTCAATGCTATGCCGTAAGTATTTGAGAATATTTTTTTAATTATTCAATTATAATCCTAAGTCGCGATTCTGACATACTTTCATTTAATTACTTTAATAAGATACCTTTCTTACAATGAATTTATTTTTTACATCTAATTTCTCAGTTATTTCAAGGTCTAGAGATACTTTTTTTGCATAAAAGTTCATGGACATAATCATTTTCAGAGAATGTTTGTACATTTGATAATATTCTCACTCCTTAAAGGGTGTAAATGAAGAAGAGAACTTTATGTTTTGATATTGATAATGTAGTAACTGAATATCTCATACTTTTGTGGTTTTATATTTTTTTTTTCTTGATAAATATTATATAAGAAGTTATAAAACGAGTAAATATTTAATGTCAGAATCGTATTAAATTATTGCTCTTGATAATAAAAGTCAAGTTTTTCAATAGATAAATAAATAACGTAGTTAATACTTTGGTGATAAAATTTTAATAAGCAAAATAAAATTTTCAGTTGGTTTCATGGAAAAATCTCAAGAGAAACTGCGGAAAGACTGTTGCGGCCGAGGGAGGATGGTCTATTTCTAGTCAGAGAGTCGACAAACTTCCCTGGAGACTATACTCTATGCGTTTGTTTTCAAGGACGGGTGCAACATTATAGAGTAAAATATAAAAACAATCAACTTACAATCGACGATGAAGTATTTTTCGAAAATTTAGCACTTCTTGTCGAACATTATGAATTAGATGCAGATGGTTTATGTACACAGTTAACTAAATCATTGCCGAAACAAGGAAAACAAGACTTTTGTGTAGACCCTAAAGCATTTGTTGAAGCTGGATGGGTTATACAAACACATGAGCTTGAACTCAGGGAGTGCATTGGCAAGGGAGAGTTTGGTGATGTGTTACTGGGTGTTTATCGTGGTGAAAGAGTTGCTGTTAAAATGTTAAAAGACAATAGTGAAGCAGCTCAGAGGTTTCTTGCTGAAGCGAGCTTAATGACTTCACTTATTCATGATAATTTGGTGAAGCTTCTTGGTCTTGTATTTAATAATCAACACATGTACCTGGTTACGGAATATATGAGTAAAGGATCGCTTGTTGATTACTTAAGGTCAAGAGGCAGATTGCACGTTACCAAAAAAGATCAAATTAATTTCGCCTAGTAAGTGCTTTGCACAATTCTTAATTTGTTTAAAAAAGAGAAACAAAGTTTTATTGCAAAAAGATTATTTTTATTTCTTTGTACAAACTGATGTTACATTATATAATGTATTTATTTTACATACTTCAGAGAGTTGATATTTATAGTGGATTAATTTATCATTCAGTTTTATCTTTTTTTTTTTCAGCGATACATGCGCTGGAATGGCATATTTAGAGTCTAGACATGTTGTACATCGAGATTTAGCAGCGAGGAATGTTCTTGTCGCTGAAGATAACTCGGCGAAAGTGTCAGACTTTGGTTTAGCACGCGATGAAAATTTTTCTCTCGATGGAGGCAAATTACCGATCAAATGGACTGCACCTGAAGCTCTTAAGCAGAATGTGAATATCTCTATTCTATCATTATCTTAATGTTGTTACTATTATTATTATTCATTTATGCCATTAAAGATTAAAATAAAAATTAATTATCATTGGTATTTAAATGATTGAATCAAGTCTATTACTTAGCGATACCACCATTAATCAATTTATTTTTCTGCTTTGGTTATTTCAGAAATTTTCAAATAAATCTGACATGTGGAGTTTTGGAATCTTACTGTGGGAAATTTATTCTTTTGGTAGAGTGCCGTATCCGAGAATAGTATGTATTATCACAATTTACGATTATCAAATGAATTAATTTTATTATAAAAATATGACGGATTCTATAATGAATTACTATAATTATAGCCCTTGGCGGACGTTGTAAAATGTGTAGAAAAAGGATATAAGATGGAAGCACCAGATGGATGTCCTTCTGAGGTTTATGACATCATGAAACAGGTAAGAGTCTAATAAATATATACTAGATGAGTTAGGATATAAAATAATTCACAGTTAACAGCTATAAATTTATATTTTCCACCATGTTATTAATAGGCATGGGATTTACAACCGGAGAAACGACCATCGTTCTGCGACATAAAGGCCAAACTCGGTTTTCTTAAGGCTGAGTATACCAAATATCCGAATTAATTAATTCGGTTCATGAAAGCAAGTTATATGTAAACTATTCAATGCAATTTTCTATTTGATCTAAAACCGTAACTCTTCAAAAATACAAATTTGTAAAAAAATTATGCAGGCCTCTAATATGTTCTATTTATTAAAGTATAAAGAATTCGACTGTAAATTTATATACATAATCTCTAGTGGAAAAATATTTTGAAGTTATTTCTAACTTTATTGAAAAGGAAAATTCTACTTATTCACTGTAAAGTAATTTTGTATCAATTTACCCGATTTTATTTATTTTTTGTTACAATATTATTCAATTACATTTCAATTTCAAAAAAAAAATATAAAAAAAATTTTATCTTCATTTTACAATAAATCAATACAATGAATACATTAAAATTGCAACTAAGTAATTTTTTTTAGTTGGTAAATCTTTATGCGGAATTTTTAAGTGTGTATCAAGATGTTTTGACGTATTGTGTTAATTGAAGTTGAAAATAACTTTTTTAAAAAATATTTCAGAGATATGTTTTTTTTATACTGTACATGTCAGAAATACTATCTATGTCAACTGTGCCTTTTTTTAAGTAGATAATCTTTACAGAGATTCAACTTGCGTCACTGAATTCACGCTCATTAAATTAGCAATAAGTATCTCTCTTGATTCATGAAGATCTAGAGAGAACATAGTCATGATTGACTTTCATACCATGCTCTCATTTTAACTGAATAATACAAATATGTACGTCGTCCGTTCAAAAAAATCAAGAATTTTTTCTAAAGAATAATTTATATAAATAAGAAAAAAATGAAGTATAGAAAAAAAATATTACTGATATGTTTCATCTCAGATTTAATCTCCAATTGTATATCAGTGCACAAGACTGGTAATTTTTAATTGTATCTTATAACTTTATTTCAATTGATTAAATAACTGTTTGTACAATTAAATTGATAATTGCTTGAACAATTCAAGTATTAAATTTTGAGTATTGATTTGATAAAATGTCGTGTTCAATTTTTAAATTATTATAAATAATTATTACTGAAGTAAATAGTAAAATTATGGCACAAATGTGACTGGTACTTTAGAACAGTCGGTAGATTATAATCGTAAAATTTATACACAAAATTTATTATAATTAATTGATTAATATGAAATTGTTAGTTACTTTTATAAAACGTAATTATATGAAGAATGATCTGCATGCAGATAAATCAATTTATCTATAAGTTCATAACAATTTTATTTTTTTTCAATCAAATACTGGACGATCGTGATTATAAGGTAAAACAGTACTATTATTAAGTTTTTTTATCAAAGATTTATCATAAATAGTTGTCATTAAGATAAGAAACAGTAAATTATTGCAAGAAACAATAATTCCATTAATCGTTATTTAAATTAAATTCCTCGAATATTTTCGATAAACATAGGTAATAAATTAAATCAATAATATAAATGTAATAATAATTGTAAATAGTTTTGTAAATATTCATCTCATATATGAAACTAACGAGAGTTTAATTTCGGATGTTAAAAATACTTAGAGATTTAACAATGGACTTCATCTGTAATTCAGATGCATATTTATATCATTAACAATAATTGTTGCTTAAGTCTTTGAGGATGCATTGATATTCCCAACAACCATCGATTTGTATATGATATAGTCTTTTTATGTCAGATAATTGTTAAGAAAATTATTATTTAGTCAAAATTATTCAACTATAATCTAAAATTTACAAAGATTTTTGCAACAATTCAACAGATCAATACAAAAATATTACTCATTATATATTGTAATATTTTTTTTAAACAAACAATTATATTTGACGACCATAACATAATTTAGGCAAGTGCCAGTTTTAAAGTTGATGGAAAATGAATGAGATAGAATGAGTTTTCTTAAGTTCCACAATTGTGAATAAAACAATCAGTATAACAATTGCAGCTATCATTTTAAGGTATTTAGTCGATCAAGAATATAAAAAATTGCTGGATAATCATTTTAGAATTATGTCTTATTTAAAAAAAAAAATAATGTAATGACAATTTTTTAATATTTTATAAAACTATCGTACTCTGTGTTGAAACTGTGGTTCAAGTACTAATTTTATTCAATGAAATTAAAATTATATTTAAGTAATGTAAGCGAATAAATTTTTTCAATCTAATAAAAACAAACGCGAATATAAATGTAAAAATAATTTGTAATGATCTATTCGACTGTTCAAATTATATAGTATATATGTGAATTACTTTTGCATCACAGAGTTAAACAATTATATAGTTTTTGTCCATTAGAAAATAAAATTAAAGATATAATTGATAGTCGTGTGTATACGAAAGCAATTTTTAGAAAAGACATCAATTTTTAGTCGATTAGTTCTATGACATTAATTGAAAAATTTATTTGTATTAAAATAAAATAGAATGGAAATTTTTTATTAATGAAACATGTTGAGTTTATTAAACATTTATATAGAATCAATTTTTGGTATAAATAATAATTATTTAATTCATGTTTATGTTAAAAAAAAAAGCAACAAATGTGGTCAATTTTTTATATTTGTAATCAGATAATTAGGCTGTAAGAAATTTAATATATATTAAATCGAATTACCTAAATATATAATTAGTTAAAATAGATATATTTATGTCTTTATTGTTGATTAATGGATTAAATTTTGAATTTATTTTATTTTTAAAAATATCAAACATACTTATCAGTTTGTCATTATTTAATCAATTTTCATTATTTACATTTATATAATGTTAACTAATTCATCAAATTCGTGTTGAATTTATATTAGAATTAACAGAAAATATCCTGTATAGATCCCTTCACTGATTCGATTCCAGTATGATTTGAATATTCAAAGCATTTCATTAAACTTTACGCAATTCACTCATTATCGATTTACCGAAAGTTTTAACTTTTTCAATTCATTGAATGAACTTTCTCTCGTTCTAATTATTGGGCTAGAATTTGATGTCGAATCAGCAGCATTTATTTCAGTTTCTTCATCAGTCGTTGATTCCTTAATTTTTGACCGAGACCAAAACTTTTCACTGCTTTTTAAAATGTGGCTGAGAATACATCGATTGCTCTGGTTTGATTTCAAAGAGTTAGATGAAAGTATGACTGACTTTTCTTGGCATTTAGGTAATGTTACTATAGTGAAAGGAATCTGCTGTTCTTCAGACGTTGATTGAGAATTCTTCAGTCGACTTCTTATCAATAGACTTCTTTGTGGTTTATAAAACTCTTCTAACTTATTCTCCTGAGCGTTATCTGTTCTTTTTATTAAAATATATGTTTTTTTATTTGTTTCATCTTTTATAATTACTCGATTCATTCGTGGAATAATAATTTCATCAGGGTCTAAGTCAATTAATAACTTTTTCTCATAATTTTTATAGTCAGGAAACGTGTTATGAGTCCATTCATCTTGTCTACTTATTCTCTCACTATTTTCATAGCTTTTTTCGCCATTATCTTCAAGTTTTTTAACATCAGAATGTGAGATTTTATTAGAAGTCTTTTTTGAATTATTATCGAATAATGCATGAGAACTTTCAAGCACCAGATGTGGTTTTAAAGCGGTAATTTTATCGATAATTGAGCCAAATGATGCCACGTGATTACCGATGACAGAAAGTGCACCCGAGACGAAATTCCCCAAAGTTCCTTCATTATTACTCTGAGTAGAAAGACTTGGTCTCAAAGAAAAAGGATTTAAAGTACTCTTTTCCGATCTCTTGTAAGAAATCTCATTTTTTTCTACTCTTGCCTCTTTATTCTTCTTTTCTACTCTTTCATCTACAAAGCATTTTGCCTCGCACAATCAATAAGACTATATTCTTTAAAAAAAAGTTTTTTCCAAAGTAATTAATTCCAGTATTTTCTGTTGGCAATTTTAGTAAATAAATATAATTGGCAATATTAATATTTTAAAAGATGAAAAATTTTTTTTTTTGAATCATTCATACTTCTACTCTCTGAAGATAGTTTAAATTATGTCAAAATGTTAAGTAATCAAGATGTTCTTTAAATAATTAAATTTTTTTATACTATCAATGATTTTATTATTTCTTAATATTTTGTTACATTTATTTACTATAAGCAGCGATATATGATAGAAATAATCAATAACAATCTTACAAAAATTATCTTCACATGAACTAGAAATGGAGTCAATAATTTCATTCATCTCAAATGATTCATCTTGAACTAGTTCTTGGTATAATATTTCTTTTTTCTCGCTTTTGCCTTTGATACTATCTTTCGAATCTCTTTGAAGAAATCCTTTAAAATATTTTTCAATATCATATTTGCTTTCAGATTCACTTGGAATATTTTTTTTATTCATTATCATATTACTAGAATTTTTTTTACCTAGTTCATTTTTATTTCCTGTCTCCATACTCTTATCTTCTTCCTTTGAATATAAAGTTTCAAAACTCATAGCTACTGACTTTGCACCATATTTTACATCAGTAATCATTTGAACTGTCTCTTCTTTAAATGAATCAGGATTCGTTGATACTAAAAATAACATGAATTCTATATTTGAAATATTTTTATAATTTATTTCTATTTTATTACTCTGATGGTGATTATTATTAATATTTTCATCAGTCAATGGATTTTCTTCAAACGACTTTTCTTTATTATCAATAACAATTTCTAACGCATCGTTTTGGGCAAATTTAACTGTTCCTTTCTTAGACTCCAATTGAGGATTATTAATTACAACAACAACACCAGGAGTTAACTCTACAACTTCGCCATTAATTCCTATTACTACGACGTGACCATTTTGGTTGGTTAGTTGGTGAAGTTTTTTTTTATCTGCATCAGCGATTTCTTCATCTGAAGATTTATTCTCACCACAGCTGCACAGATTGTCTGAACTATCATTTTGATCACATATTACCAGATTATTAGTACTAGTGGTATTTGTGGTTGGTTTATCAGTAGAAGATCCAGCTTCTTTCATTTGTAAAGGCAGACGGCGATATGTGGTTTCAGGACTACCAACATGTGGCTGAAGATTCAACCTTCTTGGGTTACGAACCTCGATCTGAAAGGGATCTGGTGACTTAAAGTTCTGTGGTTGGCTTGTCACCGTCTGTCTAAAAAGCCCAATAGTTGGTAAAGTACCTGGGTAAACGTGCCAAGCTTCTCTGCCATATGGTTCTTGACATCTAAATTGTGGAATTGCAGCATTTCTTCGTCTTTCCATTTCAGCCTCCACTTGTGCAATCTTATCTTGAACATTTTTGAGTCTAGTTTCAGCAATTACTCGTTGTGAATGATAAGGTGCAAAGTTTAGATTGACCCTTTGATCACATTCCTTCTGCCTCAAAGTAGCTAGAAGAGTCCTTAGTTCTTCATCTGACTTTAAGGTAAGAATGACAGGATCTAAGCTTGAACTACACTCAGCTCCGGCCCCTTGATTTTCACTTATTCGACGATTAATTAAACTTTCAATGTGACTCTTCAAGAGATTCACTTTCAATTGAATGGTTGTAAGTATAGGGATAATGTTACTTGGTGGGTTAGCAGCCATATGAAGATTAATTAAGGCATTAACTTGCTGTGCATTTCGAGTTTCAGCTAAAAGCTGATCTTGGTTTAGTGTTTCAATTGTTTTTCGAGCACGTTCTACAGTTTCTTCCATCGTATTTGTAATATTAGATCCCGGAACTTTTCTTAATACAAGTCGTGTTGCAACACAAGAGATGACACCTTGAATTGATAGTAGTTGAGAAGCTAGTGCTTGAAGACTGATAGCTGATGGACAGTTTATTCTAGTACAGATCGTGTCATCGTTTGCATTCTCACACTTGTGCTCTCTGGAGTCATCGACTGAATAATTTGTTGCACGACATTCAGGCCTTCTAGGACTACAACAGCTTGTCTCTTTGCATGTCCCACTTGGTAACACAAATGGATTAAACATTGGCATAGGATAAGGATAGGGAATACAAGCCGGTGGACAGCAGAATTGCGGTAAATTTGGACAAGTTTCTCTTACACCAGGACAGTTAAATGATTGTTCTCGTACTTGAGAAGTCTGAGGAATTTGAAGTACCGGGCTTGGATTATTCGGTAAGATGAAAATTGGAGATGGGGCTTGTAAGTAAGCACGAAATTGTTCAAGGGCTGTTGCTTGAGCTGGAGATCCGTAAGTAAATTGAGAAGGGTGGAGAGGTGGATGAGATGTCGTAACATTGTAAGGAAGCTGTGAAGAGTATGGAAAACCAGCCCCTAATGGCGAATTACCAGCCATTGCGGAATGTTGAGCAGGTTGGGCCATGTAAGAATCCATTTGAGCCGGGTTTTGATAATAAGTATCTGAAGAAATAGTCGATTTTAATATTTTTTCAATATGAACATAATTAATTATTTAAAAATAAATTATATGTTCAAAGAAATTGATGATTACTTTGATTCATTGAAAAACCACCACAAGGACTAGTTTGCACTGGTTGGCTGTAAGTTTGACGTGGCTGTTGTTGTTGTTGATTTCGTTGATGTTGTTGCTGAAAATTATTCGGATTATTTTCTGTTACAACATTGGAAAATCCTCCGGGAACTTGAGGCATTGAATTTACTTGACACTGCAACCAGCCTGTGATTTACACGAATTATTGATAGGACTCAATAAGTTAATATATCAAATACATGTAGAATGAAACAAATATACATTTTTCATTTTGATCCATTTTTTTGTTGTTGAATGAATTTAATAATTGATGAAATAATTTTACTGAAATTTTTTAATGTAAATTTAATAGGCCAAAATATTTAATAATCCATTTTACTAAATAATTTTACTGATATGTCCTAAATAAAAAAATTGAAGACGAAATTGATAGAAATCTCTCGATTGTCTATTTTCTTTGGCAATTTTTTTATCCATTTCATCGTTGACATATTCATTTCTTACACTGTACAGAGCATGTAGATAAAAAGCAGTATACCGGTATGACGTCATGCAGAATATGAACTTGATTACATATCTGTCTGAAAGTGGGGAGTTATAAACTAGAGTGAACATCGTACATGCTGAAGTCTTTATCATCATTTCAGTGTCGGAATACATTATAGAATGTATAAAAGTTTTCGTGAACAAAGGAGACCGATTAAAAACCATACAAAAACCGGATGTAAGTCGTTATTTATCATTTATCAAATTATAAATTATTAATTGCTATTAACATAGTTTATCATGAAAGTCAAGTTGATTGTTTTAAGTAAGTTTTAAAACGATTAAACATTAATAAGACGCAATTATTTTTTATCGTTGCTAAGTATTTGATACTACTTTAGTTTCTCTCTTGCAGTTTATTCTCAACTTTATTAAAAATTAGAATAATGGAGAAAGTTCAACAAACAAGTATAGAATTTATTAAAAACGAATTAATTCCTGAAATGGTTCATAATCGATGCTTCTGTGATCCTGGATCTCGAGAATTTGTGGAGTTTAATTCAGTTGATGTAGAGTTCTGCAAAAATTTGACAAATAATAAAAATCGTGAAATATATCGTGCAAAGGTTCAAATTAAATTTTCAGATGAACCGAAGATTTTTTACATTATAGTAAAACTCTTACCTCTTAATAGTGAGAATGACGATCTTGCATATAATTGTTTTCTTAATGAAGAAATGTTTTATAATAAAATGACTGCTCAATACCAGCTGGATGTATACCCCAAGTGCTATGCAGCTGACATGGGTCGATATGAACGCCCTGTCATCGTTCTCGAAGATCTTGAAGCTGCTGGATTCATACAAAGTATAGTTAAATTGGATGAAGATCATTTACAGATGTATTTGAAAGCGATATCTAGGTTTCATGGTCGTGGTTACAAGTTGAAGTATAGTAAGTTGGATATATTTCGAGAATTCTATGTCAAGTTGAGTGAAATAATGATTAAAAATGATTACCATATTCAATCGATTAATAAGTAAGTCCAATTGAAAGTTAGATTAATTATGAGCCATATAAAATTCTTAATTTGAGTAAAATTTGATTTTCCAGGGTATTAGATCATCTGAGAGATAAAAAAAGTCAACAGGAGTCAGGAGAAAAGATAGTAAAAGAAGTTAAAAAAATTATTGGACACTTTCCAAAAAATTTAGATAACGAAAATGATGAATCTTATACGATATGCCATGGTAATGTCGATCAAAATCATTTATTTTTCCGTTATGAGAATAACAAACCGGTTGAGATAAAAATTCTTGGATGGAATCAGTTGAAATACAGTTTGCCAGGAATTGATTTGCAATTTATCAATTTACTTGATTTCGATAAACTAGTGAATGGAGCTCTTAGTACCAGTATAATAAAAAAATTTGATAGTTACTTCAGTGTACTAACTGTTGAGTGTCCTAATTTATCTAAAGACATATTATTGACTGACTTTGTATTGAGTGTTATTAATTGTTATATTTTTCCAAGTATATCATCGTAATATCTAGTTGCCAACATGTTTTTTGATATTATATTGAAGAATAAAAAATTTACGAATGATGAAGAATTTTTTTCTTATTGAATAAAACGTAAATAATCAATAATGTTCATTTTTATAATATTTTTACAATAAGAATTTAACTTTATAATGACGGCGAATTAGGAGGAAAGACAGTGCATTGTATTTTATAAAATGAGAGTCCAGAGAGTATTCTGTCATAATTAAATAGAAAATAATGAAGCCGCAGAGAATAACTTGATCTAAAAGTTTCGGTAGTTATCGCTTCTTTGCGGAAAATTACCAACTTCTCAACGATGAGTAGAAAAGCGACTTGAATTAGTGGTTGAAATGAAGTAGGAGAAGGGGGGCACAAGGAATGTCTCTCATGAATGACCAGGGTCAAAATCGTGTTTGGGAACTGGCGAACTAATTTCCATCGGAGATATGAACGTCTCGTTCATGATGGTGAGAATAAAGTTCCGTTGTAGATTGACCTCGTCCAACGTTGATGTTGTTACCCAGATAAAGGAAACCTCAATCGTGTTTGATGTAAATTTTATCTAAGCTTCGTTCAGTAGTCACAAACTGTGATCCTGCATAATTTTCAGTACTTCAGTGTAATTGAACTTGGACAAAAAAACCATTTTAACATCGCACCATTGAAATTTACTCGAATTAATCCTACCTATATTGAAACAGAGATCGAAGATTATGTTTAGTCGTTTAAAAAAATAGCAAGAATGATTTTAATCCAATTGGAATCAATTGAATTATTAAGCTGTTACCAATGATTTTTAACAACAGATAGTTCAATTTCAATAAAATATTACTCCATGTTTAAATAATTTAAATATAAGGAATTATGTTGTTAGTAAAATGGAATGATGGAAAAATATTTAATTTACCTACCTGGTTGAATATATACTGACGATAATTTTTATATCATAGAATGTTGCTCAAAATAATTTTTAATCATTTTGATTGCTCTATGAAACCATAAATTGAACACACTCACATTCTTTAGTGCTTGTTGGTTGTATTGCTGATAGGCTTCCAATCGTATCTCTCAGGTGTATGTGATATTCAACTTTGGATCCTATATCAATTTCAATGCTTTGGTACTTAAGTTCAATTGAAATTCAACGAAAATTTATTGTTCAATAAAATTTTAGCCAAATATATTAAGTATAAATAAATTACCTTTTAAAGGTTAGGTTTTTCTATTTTTTTTTTCTTTATCATGAAACAATATCTTAATGGAATTTTCAAAAATTATCAACTTCGTTTGAAGAGACAAATCGAACTCTATCACGATCCTGCCCTCGTCTGGAGCTTGGTGTTGCTTGATTAACTTCTTGATGTACTTCAGGTGGAACAAAAGTTGCGCTTAACCACATCATGAAAGCAAACATGATCATGAGGATACAAAACGAGAAAAAAATACTTTGAGAGCAACATGCTGCTTTGAAAGCTGCATCAATGATTTTAATACACGGTGATGAGCTCGCATAAACAATTTGAGGTAATGGAGTTTTAGAATTTTTAGATTTATCGTTTGGTACTAATGGGGGTGGCGCAGTTGGCAATAAAGTTTGCGCAATCGGAAGCTGCGCTGATGCTGATGATTTTTGGGCCGCTTCGTTAGTTTTACCCCGGTTAACGAAGAAGGATGGCCAGTCCATGAAAAATGTCGCGGAATTGCATGAAAAAGCCCGGAAAATGCTCAAATAAATTGCTAAATTCACGTCACAACAGTCATTTGTAACCAATCAACAAGGCAAAATAGAATTCTCAACAATAAGTCCCATTACAAAACGTTAACGAACGCTTTTTTGTTAGTCACTAAAGCAGTTCCTTACTAATGCGCAATAAAAATAATCAATATGGCGGATCAATTGGCGTCAGTACACTTTTGTTCTGGGTAAATTATTAATTTTCTTCTTTCAATCAATATAAGAGTGTGCAAAATATCCTAAAAAATATGAATGAGTTAATTTTAAATCCTTTAATAATATAATTTTATTCATAATAAATATTTAAACAAAAAAAATTTTTTTCCAATACACAATTATTGCGAAGTTATTAAAATACTAGTTTTATATTGTCAAGTAAACAGTTTAATCCTTTAAAACAAAAATAGCTTCTTGATTGTCAGAGTTATTTTGCATTTAAGGATTATTATAATTATATAAATGAGTATTAATTTGGATGTTAATATGAAAATATTACAAATTATTTGAAAAGGATAAAAGTAAGTAGAATTCATTTTTGTTATCAAATAGAATTCATCTTATCTAACTGCAGCAAGTGATAATATACATTGATACACTTTAGAAAAATTTAATTTACTAAATTTCACAAAGTTTAGTTGGTATTAAAAGTAAACAAGCGATCATATCTGATTACAATAGAATTAGCACTATGGATACTGGGTATGTAAAGGAATCGATTATCTCCAAAACTTCTCGAATCTCGTCATGAAGTTCCAACAAATTTAACGTGGTACTTTCGACCGTGCAATCAACGCCTACAGACGAGTCTTCCATATACATGCGAACTGAACAGGTGAAATGATTTGATTAAAAGTTGTTATATTGAATAGGAAGAAAAACTATTAATTTTTTTCATTTTTTTTTATGAATATAGAAGAAAAACGACATCATAAATAATAAAACTTATTTATCAGTTATATTTTTTACATAGGTGACAGTGAAATAAGTCGATTTAATGTAAAAAAAAAGGGAAATGGAAATAAATTTCATATCAATTTAGAAATTGTCAGGATAAATAATTAAATGGTTGAAATGATGATAGATTGATTTTCAATTTTGTCTAGTTTTTTGTCTATTAAAAATTAACAATTACTTGAAGCAAAATTGGAATAATTGTATATAAACTTTGAAACAAAAACTACGGGATTATTTTAATATTCCATGAAGTTTTATGAAGAGTATATCACAAAAATATGACAGATTAAAAACGATACAGGATTGATAACTTTTTAAAAATTTTAAATGTAGAAAATTAATTATTTTTTCATTTGATAAAGTTGTCAGTGGAATGAGTTTTTTTTATCTTGATTGAAAAAACTAAGTAATGCATTTAATATTCTATCTGTATAAATATTTATTTGTTTTTATTTTCATCCATAAAATGATTCGTAACTCATTCTCAGAGGAATGTGATCTATAACTGCAGGAAAACCCATCACGTAGTCGATATATCCTCTTATATACCTTCATACCCCATCAAGTACGTGTCATAGCATCGTATTTAATTTCTCCAGTGCACATTCTCTGAACTTCGAAGGCATCATATCGCTCTCATTCATTTTATCATTCTTTGTCTCGCTCAGTTTCACTCATCTGCCAACTATTCCACTGCAGACAAAATGTGTTCCATATAGGAGAGTCATTAAGAGAATGCACCAGCTATTTCCATTTTTCTTTTTTTTAAGGAGTTTCGGGAACATTAATCGTGAAATTTAAATTATATGCTGTATCTAGTAAAAATGTGATTTTTTCCAACTATTAATGTGCCATGTAGAAGGCTGGAATGTTGGTAAGGAAATGAAAAAACGTGAATGATGTTAAGACTCTGGTAAAAATATTCTTTTAATGAATCGAATAAAAAAAAGATATTTGACTTTTTCTGTTCACCATATACGAGGTGTTATAGTAAACCCAACAAAAAATCCATTTGGAAAAGTGCTCTTTTTAGCTCATCGATTATGTGGCTTTAGAGAATTTTTTTCGTTACCTTATTAATATTATCTACTATCTTGGAGTTTTATTAGATAATAAAAAGGCAGACTGAACAACAGCCAATATCTTAGACTGGAAATGATTTTCAAAGTGGAAAGCTCGACAAGCACCAAAGATCACGTCCTTTCTACCCTCCGTATACATCACTGTTCGTAGCACTTAGTGTACGTGTCTGGTGTCTTGCCTTCTAAGTTATACAATGGAACTTGCCACAAATAATATACGCATCACATCATGTTGCGACTGCTTGCTTTTAAACAATATGTAAATTTGTTAGAGGTCTGGGTTACTATACAAATAATTTTTATTCAGAGATAAGACTTTACTAATTTATGTTATGTTTTTCAGAGTTTCAATATGTCAAGGACATGTACAGAAAGAGTTATACAAGTTTCTGTGTTAACTTATTGAGGGTTACGGTCAATAAATTATTTTCTGAAGATACCAATCGTTCGTACATATGCAAAAGGATAATGAAGTCAATTGTTATTTCCATCGGTAAGTAGGATTATTGTGAAATCGATAATTTGATGAATGAATACTAGTTCGAAGTGGTTTGACCTAAATGCTATTTCATTAATTTCCTGGCAACGCCAAGAGGATAGAATGATTTGAATAAGCATTTATCAATATAAAAATAGAAATTAAGTACATTAAATTTTCCAACCACAATGCAAGCCAATTAGAATATCATTAATCATATGTTTCTTGTCGAAATTAATGAAATGTTGGTTGGAAATTTATCAGTACCTAAAAGAGTAGTATAAGCATTACGTATGCATATATATATATATATATATATATATATTATATACATAGTAACTGTAACAGATTTTTGTTGGACGGAGTCTATATTGACTTGAACATATTGCGGAAACTGGTGTATGTGCGATTCGCTGTTTATTTACCGCTAATGAATTTTCGTCAGATGAGAGGCAATCAGCATGCATCGAGTGTGGCTAACCATTTCCACTCGTGCAATGAGGGAGAATAACGAAAGAGCGAAAGCGGAACTTCATCGGTTAGTAATTTAGTGCTCGATGGCGACGCAAAATAATGAGAATAATAAAGTGACAAACTTTTTGGCACTGATAAACTGGGAAATGAAGCGTGGAATGTACATATTTGCCTGAAGTGAGTATGAAAACTCATATTAAAAATTATTTTATTTCTCGGACTGATTTCAAATTAATTTTTGCATTGTTGAACTTAAAATTTTAATCGATGCTGGAATATAATTGCAACGATATTATAAATTGCCAGTAAAAAGTTTCGTGTGAGTGTTTTTAATTTAAAAGCGTATATTTGCATCCTTTTTAGTTGGATTATTATGGAAAAAATTTTTTTTATGATAATCATTTTTATTAAGTTTTTTGATAATTAGGAAATCTTTCTCTTTTACTTTTTCATATAAAACATTTAGTATTTGAGTTTTAAAATCCAAATTCACGCTTCGATTTATAAATCTTTATATAATTGGCTATTGGTTATTCAAATGTAGGATTAAAAAAAAACATTTTTTATTAAAATGAACGTTGTTCTGTAAGAAACAATTCTAAAAATTGAAAGAATAATTTTTTAAAAGGTTTTTAAAATGCATATTTACATATTTAATAAGTATTCCAATTATTATTTGCATTTTTTATCGAAAATTTTTATTCAAAAGTGTTCTTTCAACTCATTTTAATTTTTATAAAAAAATGCTCTAAAAAAATGAAATTTAAAAACTTATTTACATTTCGCCGGCTAAAATTACATAAAAAAAGTGATTAAAAAAATTGAGAAAACAAACTGGTAACATTATCTTTAAGAACAGTCATTTAGTTTTCCATTAAACACTTCTTGAAGAAGCTTGCTAGGATCAGCTGCGTCCAATATGAGCAAAAGTGGGCTGTATAATTTTGTAGATGATCACAAATAAGAGTAAAGAATTTTTTCATGTATAAAAATCGATAAAAAAAAATTCTGAAATTCAATTATTAATAGAAGTGGACGTCATTATCATGGTGATTCAATAATCACTAAAGCTGCGAACTCGTATAGAAGCGATGGTTCAACTAAGCAATGTAATTAACACATTCCTTCGGTCGATCGGAACGCAGATGACCCGACAATATATTCACCCATTGAATTAGTCTCATCATACATTGATTAGTAAATAATTTACGATGAAAATAACTCAATAGTGGACAATTCAATCCGTATGCAAATGCTCACAACAGACCAAAATTGGTGCTTACAAGTACTATTCATTTAATGATAGGAATATTTCGGTTAGATGAAATTACAATGTTCAAAATATCATCTTCACTAAAAATTTATTAGAATAAAAAGTTGATTTGACGTCATACACAAACAAGTAAACAAGTTTGCACATTAATAATTCGTTAGCTTTTATTACCAATAGTTTAATTAGCAATCAATGTGATTCAATATTTATTCATATTTACCTTCGAAGTCAAAGTGTGAATTATAAATCTCTTTATATCGTCATAATAATTAGATTAATTATTTTATTGATTCCATGATTCCACTATAGAATAATTTTTAATGAACTTCATTATTTAATATCATGATGAAAAAAATATAATATTAACATACTAATGATAATAATAATAATTTAATAGCAATATTGAATAAAAACTAATATAAAAACTAGCGAGGTACGTTTAAAATGAGTCAATTTTGCATAAAAAAGTTAATAATCTTCGTTGAGAATGAAAGAGAAAAAAGTGTGAAGAAAAAATCCACAAAGAAAATGAAAAATTATATTATGGAAATCATCCGTTGAATGGTCAATCAATTGCCTGAAAGTGGCGAAGTAATCAAAATTCGTAGTCGACCACAAACGTGTCTATAAACGTAACTCGATTACACGCGGGAGTAAACACACCCAGCAGTTGCAACGTAGTTGTTACAGGCTAGTTTCGATGTTCTATCATCTAGAAAGTAGAATCTAGTAAATTTGGGAAACCTAAATTGCTCGATTAATTTACATTATATAGGAACCTATTTTCGTCTATTACAAAAAAATAAAAAATGATAGTAAAATTCAATAATAATATTCACGTTTCTTTTTTTTACATAAGAATTGTTCGGAGAAATGTCATGAGTTTCATTAGATTTTTAGATTCAATT